ATGAGATAAGTTACCCGGAATATTCGGGCTTCGTCAAAGGAAATTTGGCAACGCCTGATGGTTCATGCGGCAATCTTCCCGAGCACGGCAGTCTACGTCTATCAATGGATCGTATTCGATAGTGGTTCGATGTATCGTTTGATTCAAAACGATAGAATCTAACCTCAAAAAAAAAAAAACCGTCTAGAAATGATGAAATTTCAACTTTTTTTCCCCTTGGAGGATGACAAAACTTCCTCTCTACCCTAGGGGAGCGAGAAAGTAAAAATCGAGGTTTAAGTTGGAAAAGCTGGAAATGAGATAATTCCAAACATTTTCACTTTTCATTGCCATTTCGTACTCATAAAAATATAAAATCCACCGCGTAATGAATTTTTGCCTTCGTGAAAATGAGAATGGAGAGCCGTGGGGCAGGTATTTGAGCTGAAGTCGAGGTGAAAAATTGCTCATTATTCGGGAGGTGTCATCTGTGACTCGGTGCGGAATTGCGGGGAGAGAGGAGTGCGGATTCCAGGCAGTATATCCAGCCAGAGCAGGAAACCGGTGAAAGTGCTGACTGGTGAGTTGTCCGCTGAATGCCGAGTCGTGTCCTGACAGGTGGCATCCAATGCGGGTAAAGAACGGTGGTCGCATTTCGTACCCTCTTGACGTCAAACGGTATCGGGTACTTGGGCCGAGCGAGGCCTTGACGTCACAAATCTTCAAGATGGCAGCCAAAATCGAAATGCGACCACCATTCTTTTTCCGCCTTGGGTGGCATCGTTGCCGTGTGTAGTTGACACTCCACAAGTCTGATCCTCCTGTTCTTACAAATTTTGGGTCTTCTAACAACATGGATATTCTTCGAACACGCGAGGAGACAGACGAGACCTCGGAGATCCCGCGGAAAATTTGTCCACGAGGGAATTTTTCTGCCCAAGTGCGATTTTCCACTCCTTTGCCAGATCGAAATGAATCTCTTGGAGAATTGGAAAATCATCTGCTGCATCACAGGTGGAACTGAGTTCCAGTCCTTTCTCCTCCCCGAAAATCTCTGATCAACCGCCGCTCTCGTCAATTGTCAACTTCAGACAGAGCTCAATTGATTTCCTTCAGTCAAGATACTGGTTCTGTTGCCAATTTGATGGAGGCTTTGGTTTTAGGGCGAGCAGGAAGCAGGGCCGGATTAAGAGGGTGGCCACATGGGCCGCGGCCCATGGCGGCAAATCAAGGGGGCGGCAAATTTTGCAATTTCTTTTTTAAAAAAAATAAAATTTTGAAAAAAAATTACAAACGAGAAAAGGCGACAAAATCTCTCATCTCCTGAGAGTGTAGTAATTTCGAATTTTGTTGTCTTTTAGTGATAAAAGAGACAGCACCTTTCATTAATCGAGTTAAGAGAGAAACCAAACACGCAATTTGACCTGGAACGGCTCGACTTAGAGAGAAATTATGACGAGGGCTTGAGATTAAAAGGAGAAGCCCTCGGCGCGGCAATCGGCATGCAACACATATTAGCGCCTACAAGACTGCACGAATACTTCACGCCTTGCACCAAACACAGTGCGGTCACTGCGGTCAGCGTGAAACGGATAGCGCCTACAAGAATGCATGAATACTTCACGCATTGCGCCTAAGACAGTGCGATCAGCGTGAAACGCTTAGCGCCTACAAGACTTCGTGAATACTTCACGCATTGCGTCAAACTCAGTGCAGTCTGCGTGGCGCGGCGGCGGAAGTTGAAATCATTAAACTACATCTATGTTTGTTATTTCATAATTTTTTCGTTTATTTCTTGTGAATGGAAGGCCTTGTCCACACAGCGATTGGTTTACGAAACTTAACTTTCGCGCAAAGTTCCGTGAACTTTTGCTAGTAGTGTTAACAGGGCTTTCTCATAAAATATGTCCAACACGAGTAAACGATTCTTATGCACCCCTCCCCCGCTGGCACGTTTACTTGATGGTTTTTATTGGTATTTCAAAACGAATAAGAAGGGGGCGGCAAAATACAGGCGGCCCATGGGCGGCAAGTAGATAAATCCGGCCCTGGCAGGAAGGTTGAATTGATGAATACAAAGAATGTGCAAACTTTTCATTTAAGAGCTGAATTTGGAGAATTGTAAATTGTTCACCGTGTTCACGTGAAACACTGATAGACACCCACACGTTTTATGCTTACCCTGTCTAATGGTTAATTTCAAGCGAGGAGTGAAAAAGAGAGTGGCGAGGCTTTGATAATACGACTGGCGGGCTTAGAGACGTTACCGGGGGGGAGGGGGATCATGAGCCGGGTCCAGATTGAAATGGAAGGGTCGGGGGGACTGGCCTGCCGGAAGTGGATCGTTGTGGGACACCTAAAGAGTCAATCGTCGATGGCAGCGACGCTACGATCCCCACTTCTTGAGCATTCTCTCGCTCCCTTTCGCGCCCAAAATAATAAGTGGACCAGGGATCCACGCAAAAATTTGCCCAACATTTTTTGAGACTCATGAAGTGAATAACTGAAACCTTCTCAAAGAAAATGCCCCGAAATACAGGACTATTAATCAGGATTTCAGTATTGTGACCCTGTGACAAGTCCGAGTTATCAGAGATTTTCGGGGAGGAGAAAGGACTGGAACTCCGTTCAGATGCAGCAGATGATACAGGGTTATTCAAAAGTCACGCACCACTGGCCATAACTTTAGTTCTAATTATTAAGGTATCGACTTGCGGTTTTTGACGTTTTTCCCCATATCGAAGGGACAACTTTTTTAGGTACTTTCCAGTTTTTGATCCCTTCGTGGGAAGGGGGGAGGGGGCAACTCAAAAATTTCAAATGGCCACCCCCCTCATGGCCAGTGGTGCGTGATTTTTGAATAACCCTGTATACCAGTTCTCCACGAGATCCCTCATTTCGATCCGGCAAAAGAATGTAGTCCAAATATCCCAACTATTTTCAACAGTTTCAACATGCTGCATGGACATCAGGGTTGCCACAGTCAGGGAAAACCGGGAGATGTCAGGGAATTTTAAAAATTCATGAAGAAGCTGGCAGTGTCAGGGAAAATGACGAAATGTCAGGGAAAATTAAGAAAATGTCAGGGAGAACGAAGAAAATGTCCGGGAAAAATCGGTAGCACCTTTCTCAAATGGGTTTGACGTTTCGAACAACAAATTTTGCCTGAAAACTATTTCTAACTCTTTTTAACAACCTAGCATTCGTTCAATCGTCAGGAAACACCAACATGTGTCAGGGAAGTCAGGGAATTTAACTGTCTAAATTCTGTGGCAGCCCTGTGAACATGCTTTGCATGAAATTTTGTGGAGGATTCTCATATTCGTCAGGCCACAAGTCTTTCAGGTCTCTTTTCTCATCACGTCAAGACATCGAAAATCGATATGTTACATGGCAGAGATAGGGAGGGCTACATCTTGTTTTATCCCCCTGACAAAGCCAGAAATAGTTTCAACAACCGGGCCTCGCGCTTTATTTGCGTTAAGTCTTATCGCAGGAGTACGAAATAAGTTCACTTGGGACTCTCGTGAAGGAAAGATTACGAAAAAAGAGACGGAAATGGTTCGGACATAGTAACGCAACCCACTAGAACCAGGGCAACCGGGGGAACTGGGCAGGAGGGATTGCCATTCGAGAGTCGCTTATCACTTATCACTTATCAGCGACGGAACGTCCCCCCTCCCCCCATCCTGTTCTTCTTCCGGTTGATTATTTCCTTTCGCTTCCCGTTGTGTGCTTTCTTTCGTTTCGCTACGATACTCGCGCAGCGCGGCTCCGCCCCCCTTTTTTTTTTAATTTATGTTTTATCAATGCCATATATTTACAGCGTCGACGTTGTTTCTAATCTCCGTACTCGTTTCTATTGCAAGCTCCAACCTGGAAGCTGCGAAGGAGCCAACATTTCCGTTCCAGCATTTCAAGTCTCATGGCTTTTGGGATAAATATGTATAATTTGATTAATGCAAAATGTGAGCGTCCACAAATAGGATGAAAGATCTTATCGTTAGTGCCCAAAGAGAACTTTTTCAAAAGTACGATTTTTGGTTAATCGGGTCGAAAATCGGAATCTAACTCTCTCTTTAGAAAGGACTTGCGGTTACTATCTTAAAGCGCAAATTCCCAAAAGCGCAAAAACATGAAGCGCCAAAATGGTATTCCATAAGCGCTAAAACGCACAACCCAATAGCGCAAATGGACGATTTGCGCTTTTGGGTTGCGCTTTTGGGTGTCTTCGGCATTTGCCAGGATAGGATCGTCATGAAAAAGTTGCGAAGGGTTAAGTTCATTTCTGTGCCAATTAACGAGAGTTAGTTGTTTTACTATACTTTCATAATTCTAAGCTCTAAACAAGGAATTTTAAATAGCTCTTCTCAAACTCCTGATTTTTGTATCAGGATCTTGGAAGCGTCGTATTTCCTGAATGGTGTGTTCCTATTTCCTGGTTGGTTTCCGGTTTGGTTGGGTCCTTTTTTAGGCATTATTCCTGGAAGACTCATAGGAGATCCCTTGCAGGTTGGCATGAAACTTAAGATAGAAATGAAAGATTGGACATTTCAGTGATATATTTCATGAAATTTCACGAAGCTGTGAAATATTTCATATTTTTCAGGGGCTAGATTATGAAACCCGCACTCAAACACAAAAATAGAAGATAGTCGCAATTCAACATTTTGCGAAACATGAAAAGGAATCGGTATTTTTCAATATCTTTCATAAAGTTCTGAAGTTTCGTGAAATATTTCACGTAAAATTTCAAGATTTTATTTTTCATGAAATTTTGCCACCCTGACCCCTTGTTCTTTAAGAAGAGGGAAAAGCCCGCGCAAGTTAGATTTAGAAACTTGTGTCGTGTTGATAGTGTTTTACGTGAAACTTTCATGAAGAAACTTATATTGTGATGCTTAATTTCCTGTAGCTTGGCGGGTGGTATACTCGTACTCTGAAACCAAGCCATTAGGACACAACACCTGACTGGAAAATGTGTAAGATTTTCAGCTAATATTTGTTATAATTTGTTTCAGGGTGCTGGATCAGCAACAGGGTCGAACCAAGCTCCGCAGCCATTTTTTAACCCTCAAGGAATGGGAGCGGGATACCACCACTTCGGTCACGGAACCCCGCTCCAGCCGGGGGTGCTAAGTCATGTGCCACCCCATCAAGGCCACTCGCCGCCCCCCGGGCACACCTTCCACAAGGACGAGCGCACCCAGCGCCAGTACATCAAACTAAAAAAGAAATTCGAACAGAAACAATTCCGTAGTGTAATTTCTCATGTTACGCCTCCTTTGACGCCTAGGAAAGGTATGCATCCCGTCTTTCTCTCTTGCCTTTAGGGACTATCAGTGTTCGAAACTCACAGGCTCCAAAGCGCCAAATGCGCCTAAGAAATCGGCCATGGCGCCTATAAAATGAAGGCTCGGCGCCAACGTGGCCTCTAAAAATGGGCCCCCCCCCCCATCTTGATTTTTCTTTTTGGTGATTTTTTGAAATCCTGCAAGTTACAGCTACTAGTTTTGTAACTACGACATCTTGCTTGTAGCTTTCACTAATTGTGCCTTAATATAAGCAAAAAGTTAATTTGGCCCCTAAATAATCTTCAATGGCCCTTGAAAATCAAGCTTCATGTAGCCATATGGCTCCTAAAACTCAAAGGTGAGTTTCCAACACTGGCCGGACTATCGAAGAAAACATTACAGTTTAGAGAATCATGCAGCAGGATGTCCAAAGAGGTCAAAACTTAGGAAAACTGGGCAATCTCTTTTTGCGATATCTGTAATCTTTAGAGCTTTAGAAGTTGACTTTCAGGTGCCTTGCATGGGGAAAGTGAATCTAAAAATCAACAAAATTACTTTAGTAATGTTCAGACTGTTAGGAAGCTAAGTAACAAAGAAGCCCAGGAATTGTGAAAGGAAAAAATTGCAACTTTAAGTAGATTACATTTTGCAAGAAGAAACTACTGTTTCTGAATCTTGCCATGCACAGAGAAACTAACGGGAATGTTCATTTTGAGTTCTTAAAGACGCATTTCAAGTTTTCTGTCATTGGTAACTTCTTTAATCGACTTAGACTGATTGCATTTCACATCGAACATTTTTCGAAACCAAAAATTGACGGAAATTTGGCCTTGAAACTCAATCTGCATATTCTTTATGAATAGAGAGAGAAATTTCTCAGAAAGTTTCAAGACATAATGTTCTTCAGTTTTTTGTTGAAAAAAATTCACAGGAGGCAAAATTTTTCAACGTAACTTCCTTACTGAGGTTGAATTTTTAATTCTCTTACCATTTTTCTTTCCTTTCAGAATTAGTCAATGGTCTTAGAAGTGGGAGAAAAGGAGTTAGTAGTGTCGGAACCAGTGAAGATGGGGAAGAAAGCAGTAGTGCTCAGGACGAAGACGATCTAATAGCAGAATTACTCGCCAACATTAGACCACCAACGGTATGTGAGCTAAATTTTTCAACCTGGTTCAGTTTTTATTCTAATCTGGGGTTTGGAGTTTTTCCCTATTTCCAACATTAGACTTGCTTTGTTTGTCACATGATGAACAAAGCTAGACTTGCTTTGTTTGTCATTTGATGAACAAAGCTAGTGTCCTAAAGGTTTGTCTTGAATTCATGTCAACCAAATTTCCTCCTATCTATCCAAATGATAGTTTTCTCTTCAGAAATGTTTTAAAAAAAACATATTACTATAGAAAATTAAAAAAAAATCAGTTCTCAGTTTTTAGTCGAAGTGAAAATTATCAAGTATGTAGTTAAATGCTTCCCATCTTTATGATACTCTTTGCTCGGAATCAAGCATTCGTTTTTCTGCAAAATCAAGTATTTACTCATTAAAACGGATTTTAACTCGAACAAAATCCCAATTTTTGTTAGTTATTCATGCAGAGAGACATAAAACAATTATCCTAATTAAGTTACATCATGATGTATTTATTCTGGTGTATCAGAACTTTAGAGATCATAAATTAACCTGATATGATCAAGTAGGTAATGTCAAAGTGAGATAGTTTTCAGGATCTGATAATTTGCCAGTGTTGATGTGTATTAATTGTGAAATTTATGATTCCAGGTTGCGGAAATAAGTTCTAGATTTGCGTTGATTCAATGGTGGCCTCCTGAAGGGAAAAGTCCAGAGCTCGATATTTCAGAGTCTGATTTCCGTTATGAAGTTTTGCTCAGTGATAAAGGAAGGGATGGGAAATATAAAACTATTTACAGCGGTGGTGCTCTCTCCTGCAGGTGAGATTTTCCCTCCTCCTTCCTTCTATTTTTCTGATTGGTTTTTAAGAGTAAGGGGGCAGAGGTAGCCAGTGCTATCAAACATATTATTCATGACCTATGTAAAACATTTTATTTTCTAGTGTTGCGGAAAATGTTTGGTTTTCGCCATCTTGAGGAAATATTGAGCAGAAAGAAATCTTTTGAACTCAAGTGAACTTTGGAATTTTTGCGATATGAGATCACCTCTCCCTAATATCATACGTTCACTCCAAGTCAACGAATTACTTTTTGCTCAAGATGTCCTCACGATAGTGAATGACTTAAAGCCTTTATGGCACTCCAAAATGAAAGAATTTATGTAAGTCTTGACTTATTGTATTCTAAAGTATTGGCCATTCTACACTCCTACACCTTTACTGACAACTAAAGGCTGTCCAAAAAGTACTGCAACAGTTCCTTTTTTGAGCCAACACGAAGAGGTAGCGAAATGCGGTTTGCGCAGTTTGCGCAGTTTGTTAGATCAAAATATTAGCTAAAAAATGAGACCTTCCTGAGCTTATTCATCTCGTTACAGCGTTTTTGTCAAGACGTGTTTGCGCAGCTACCTCCAGGATGTTTGTATACTTTTTTACAAAGAAAGAAAAAGTTTACAACAATGTTTTATCTAATGTGTGATACCATTGAATAAAGTTGGTAACCCTGTGGTACGTGTTGAATATTCATTGACAACATACTGCCAAAAACTGAATCTTTAGATCCCCTCGATGAAAATAGCCTGTGAACGGAGGCGTATCAATTCTATGTCATGTTCTCACACTGATTTGTCTTGCTTTTGCAGGGTTCAAGATTTGAGGCCTGTAACAGATTACGCTGTCTGCGTCCAAGTGCATTTTGAGGAGTTGGCCGGTCTGGCGAGTGAACCAACGTTATTCACGACACCGCCATGTGAACCAGATGCTCCTTATCCCCCGAAACTAGTGTCCCGGCTACGGAACGGGCTCCAGCTGAAGTGGTTCGCAGCCAATGACAATGGCTCAAGGATCCTCCAGTATATCTTAGAATGTGATCAAGGCTGTGGAGAGTTTGTCGAGATTTTCAAGAATAAAAATAAAACTTTCAATTACAAGCCATTAACGCCGTCCACTTTTTATAAATTCAGATTAGCTGCCGTTAACGAATATGGCAAAAGGTAATATCATCTGAATTCCTTATTTCATCATCCTTATTTTTCAATATATTTCTTTGATTTTTTCTCAGAAAATTCAGGGAAAAATGTTTCACAGTAATGTCACTTAACAATTGTTATTCTTGTATTTACTTATTTTTTTTTTAATCAGCTATATTCCCCATTTATTGATGTTAATAGATCTCGGAACAAAATTTGAGGTAGTCATAACTTTCATTTGGAAAACTTAAAGCTTAGGTCAATTTAAAAATTATCACGATAGTCTGGGAATTTTCGTAATTTTGGTAAAGGTAAGGAAGAAAGGAGGATTATTTTTCCCCCAGTCTAAAGGTACCCTTCATCCAAAGGTAACAAAACTGCGGAGCATATTTAACCAAACTTCGAGCAAGTTGAAAATGTATCATCTCACAATCAGCTTTATATGCCTATTTCTCTTTTAAGCTTGAGTTTTTGATAGAAAACCAATTTTTTGAAAGAGATCTACCTCAACATGAATCAAAACTCAATTGTAAAAATTCAACCTACCACTTAAATGATATACACGCTTTAATTATCATATCAAACAGAACTAATAATCAGAAGTAAATTCTATACTTGGAAGGGTTGAATTCTAAGTACATTCTCCCAGGATGACTTTAGTACTTCGATTGTCTTTACAGCATACGTTTTTTTTTTGCAGCAAATATTCGGATATCGTTGTTTACGCAACGGCTGGGAGTCCGCCAAGTCAGCCGGCGCCTCCTCAGCTGTTGGAACAAGGCGTGGACTCGCTGAGGCTTGGCTGGGGACACCGTCCGGAGGACGAAGACTACATTTTACAAATGAATGACCCGGCCACCGAGTATGGCTTCCTCCATGTTTACAACGGGAAAGATACCCAGTATTGCTGTACCAATTTACATAGATACACTTCTTATAAATTCAGAGTGAGTATTGAAATTTTGTACATTTCTGTCCATCTTTTCAGTTTGATGGCAAATGTTGGGAAAACCTGGAAAACCTTTGAAAGTCAAGGAATTGCTGGAGGCCAGGGAATTTTTCCATTTGTTGAGGAGACCACTTAAGTGTACTTGTTACCTAGGCTAATAATGAGCAAATACGTAATTTCCAAGATGCACTGAAACAGTACATCTCTAGTTTTGTACAAATGCAGTAGCGCAAGCTTCAACTCTTCAAACGTAGTTAAGCAATTTTTTTTTTTTTGAAAGTTCGGGAATTTTGCCAAAATTAGATTGGGAAATTGTTTTTAGAAGTCAAGAAATTTTTTTATTTCAGTTCATTTCCCATCCCATGAAGAATTCTTACAATTTCAGTGAAAAATGATGTGGGCAAATTTAAGAAAGTGCAAAAAACTTGAGGAGGACGAAATCAAGTACCCAAAGTTCAATCCAATGTCTTCTAATTATTTTCATTGCAGATAAATCTGTAGCTTACCTTATCAATAGTCTTCTCTGTACCATCAATCGCACCCTTGTTCCTTTTACAGACTTTTTAATGCTTCACAAGATGCAACTCAAGACTGAGGTGTGTAGCAAATATTCTTTTGAGAAGTTGTTTGATTGAAACTAAATAGATTATTTTCATCTGATCTTTGATTCTAATATGTGGATTTTCTGTTCGACAGTTGAGAGCTCATAATGAGGAAGGAATATCCAGGTGGTCGGAAGAAGTTTCGTACTCAACATTACCAGGGCGACCGTCTCAGCCGCCGCGACCTCACGTCAAAGGCCGCGTTCGAGCGCACAATTTCAATATCAAGTGGGATCCGCCCGCCGACACGGGAGGTGCTAGTATTACCAACTATCACCTAGAAATGAATTCAGGAAATGGTGAGTCAACTCTAACTCGGACTTTCAAAATTCACCTCTCTGTCTAAAAATAGACCTAAAGAAAAAACAATCGCCCTTAAATAAAATTAATGCATTAATTTAATTATGGTAATTCTATTTTATCGTACAGATAGACCTTTCGCAATCTTAAATTTTCTGCGTTTTTCACTGATTTTACTATCAGCTTTCTGCTGTGAAAATTTGAGTAAGGCTTCATCGTATTCAAATGATTTAAACTAAAAATGTAAATATTCTAGTCAGGAGTTCAGTAATATCCTGTGCAAGTATCACGTTTTCATGAAAGTTTGATTAGGAAGCATGGATGAGAATGCTTAAATCAGCTTCTTGTCTAGCGGTCCATTGTTGAAAAAATTAATGTTTTTTTCATTTATCTCCTTAAGATTCCTCCTGGAATCGTGATTCATAGGAGTAATATTTAACAGGGAAAGTCTATTTTTGAAAAGGTCTGTAATGTTGGAATGATGTTCACGCCAGAAGGATATCTAAACGTTTTTATGAACTACTCACTAATAACAAAATGATTTTGTCATTGTTCAAATGTAGGATACCAAGTAATTTATAGTGGACCTGATAATGAATGTAATTTGGATGGACTGGAGCCTGGTTCAACGTACCTATTGAGGGTTTCCTGTGAATCGAAAGGAGGGCGAAGCATCGCCAGCGAGCCCCTCTCCGTCCTTACCGAGTCGGTCTGCCCCGGCCGTTGCTCTCCTCCTAGACTACATGCCAAGCCAAGACCCTACTCGATACACCTCAAATGGAGTAAGTACCTCATCTTTCACTACTGAACTCCTAAACGTTGTCCAGTCAAAACAAAATTCAGTGATGAAGTTGCATTCTATTTATGCAAATCAAGGAGTGAGATAATAAAAAAATGACTAGGAACTTATTTTTTTACAATCCTTTTGAGAAGTTAAAAAAGAGGACAGAAGAATGATTTGATGTAAAAAAGCTATTTAAAGTTTCTGTGTTCACTTTTTTTGTTCATTTGTTATTAAGTCTGTCAACAAGCATTCAAGCATCGTTTTTGATTTGATGATTGCTTCTCTTTTCAGACCTTCCAGAGAAAGATGGTGGTTCTCCTATTACCCACATAGAATTAAAAGTGTCGGAAAGTGGCGACGAAGCTAGTGAACGAATAGCGTATCAAGGCTTGGACTCTGAGACATTAGTTACGGACCTCTCACCAGGGACGCAGTACGTGTTCCAGTTGCGGGCAGTGAACAAAGTTGGGAAGGGCCCATGGTCGGATCCGCTGGAAGTTACGAGTGGGGCGGTTGCGCCTGAACCGCCGAACCCTGTGGACATTGAGTGGAATGGCCTCGTGGCGCACTGCTCCTGGGAGCCGCCCAGGTGTAATGGCGCTCCTATAGTCGATTATAAGTTGGAATTAGCGCAAGGTGATACTATGAGTTTTAGTCAAGTCTACAAGGGAGCAGCGACTTCGGCTGATGTTCATCACATTCCTCCTGCCTCTTTGTGCCACTTTAGGATACAGGTAAACCATTTTAGCTTCCCAAATATTCCCTGCTGAATCCTGGTTGAATCATTTGAAGCAGTTTTTCAATTTTTGCATCTGATAATTTCAGGAAATAATCTAGTATCAGTGAAAACACCCTTCAAATTTGAATGATGCTTACTATTTAGTATCATTAGTGGAGCCTATTTAACCATGATCAAGAATGTCATTTTGCAATCAAGTATAAGGAATTATTAAATTTGCTTTGAACAAGCATGAAATCTTGTGTCAGTACTTTTAAACCGCTTAAGAACTTAGCCATAATACCTCATCACAGACAAACCTTCTGTAGAGAAAAAATTGCCATCATCTTATTTGGAGCTTCAAACAGTTCAAAGACCACTCGTCCTCCAACTTTTAACTTGTCCGCTATGCTGTGATATACCAGAAAATATTTGAGTTCAATCGTGAATATCTTGGCTTCTACTTGTCAGAATGAGGTAATTTTTTTCGCTTTGTGCTAATGCTGAACTTCATGTCAATATATTAAAGTTTCATCAAAATCCACCGGGAGCCACCGAGCCCCCCTGTTCTGTGCGGGGTTCTTTAAAACTCTCACCAGCTGAGTGAAATGTTCATCCGACTACCCTTTTAAGTCTCTAACTTGACTCTTTTAAGTGAAGCTTTTGTAAATCTCTCCTTTGTGAGTGGTTTAATTAATCCTCTGCATGTTGTTTCAGGCGTCGAATACAGCTGGTTGGAGTAATCCATCGGAAGTGAGAAGTGTGAGCTCTCCTCCATCTGTGCCAGCAGTAGTTCCTCAACTAAGGTGTACCGCAACCATCTCGTCGTTACGTCTCCATTGGGGTGTGCCTGTGTCGAATGGCGAGCCCATCACTCACTACACGGTGGACGTGAGTCCCTTGCGCGAGCCTTGGGACACGCCGGACACGGAGTGTGTTGTTGACGATTTGACGCCTGCAACATCATTCAAGTAAGTAGACGAGTAGCAATTTACCTTACACATGGTGACATTGCTTATGTTCTGGGTTCCATTTTTTTTCTTATAGACTACATAACATCGAATTTTATTCAATCAGCAGTTCAGGTAAACCTGTACACGATTATAAGAAAGATCCTCTTGCCTAAAGACTCATAGATACGTCAGAAATAATAAGAAAAGCCATAAATTTTTCAACTAAAGTAAAGCAACCTCTTCAAACTGGGCAAATATTAATCTCTTATATGTGAATTTAACAAATTTCAATCTAATTTGATTCAACATTTCTCAATCAAAGATTCTCATCAAATTTTAAAACCATGCCAAATTTAATACTGTCAAATTATAACCATCGGGCTGCCCCAACACCTGTTCCACGAATGACAACCGTATTCAGGGTCTTGCGGGAAATTTAAGAAAAGAAAACAGATGAGTATTTGTATGATGGTTTTAATGTGGGAGTCAACAGCGATTCAATGTATTTAAATAAAAGTTCATAGACTAACAATGTTTTTTTTTTTGTTTCATAGAGTTAGAGTGCGAGCTGTGAATAAATTAGGTGCCGGACCGTGGTCTCCGATTTTGAAAACAGCAACATTACCCCTACCGCCTTCGCCTCCCCTCCTGAAATGCGTGCACCCCGCTCACAATTATCTCAAGCTAAAGTGGAGCTGTGAACCCTCGACGACGCGCAGCACTAATCAAATGAAGTACACGCTCGTCATGCAGAACCCGCAGAGACCTGATGTGTAAGTGCTCATCCTCTGATTCTGTACACCCTAAGCCTTTCAATGTTTGTTATGCACTGTCTCATCATTAAGAGCTTAATTACATTCAACTGATCCCTATTTTAAACGATTCACCGCAGATAGCTTATTGACAGTTAAAATTTGAAAACATGAGCCTCATTGCTCGCTTCGGAAATCTTCACTCCTGTTTTATTTTTCTTTCAGTAGAAAAGCCTGTTTTTTGGGTTTTTTCCAAAACAGCGTATCATTTACCCAAGAACTTAGATCATTCTCCACAAGAAGTAACTGTTGTATTCTTTCTGTGTGTTGACTCATGAAACCTTTCAACTTTCAGTAAGTTCAGTAATTTCAAGCGTAGTTTGGAAAATAAAATTTTGGAAGGGATCTTTCTCAAAAACCTTCAATTTTTGAGATTTCCCCCACCCCCAGTCTTCTGGGGATTGTGGATGTATTGGACGAGATTTTTCCCTGCATCAAACAACTTGAGTCTTTTTTAACCTCTCAAAATTGCAAGATTTCAAGGCGTTTCGTATGCAGTCCTTACTTTTTAAGATAAAACTAATGTAAATCCCTTTTACTTTGTTACAGAGATATAGAAGTGTATTCTGGGCCAAAAGATAGTTACAAAGTATCCCGATTACAGGAACAAACAACTTACAAATTTGCCATTTCAGCAGCTAATGATGCTGGCCAAGGTCCTTTGTCTTCGTATTACTCTTTTTCTACGTCTACCGCTCCGCCTTCTCCCCTCAAAGGTGAGCATTTTATTAATTAGTGGATACCATTTTACCATTCATTGAAGTATAAATCTGACTTTGTGAACACATCTGAACAAAAGGATACTATCTGCGTCAAGAGTTCTAAAATGTCCAATTATCTAATTGAAAAACAAATGACATGACGGTGGGGGGTTAAAGAAGCTCGTCAGAGCTTTTCAAGCTCGGAAACAAGGCTCTACTTAAAAGGGTTTACTTTTAATGTCCACCAAGCCCATGTAATAGTTCCTATTTGCCCCCTTTTTTTCCTCCTATTGAAGGAAACAATTTTGCATGTTTCAGCTCCCCGTGTTTCTGAAGTTACATCAGATGGCTGCACAGTCGAGTGGACGCCAGCCAGGCCAATGGGAGCCGGTTGTGATCCTTTGTCTTACTGTCTTCAAATCTCTCGTCTCCGTGATCAGCAATTTAATCAGGTACGCCTTTAACTTTATTGTCATTTTCAGACCTATTAGAACACAAGTAGTCGAATGATAAGTGTGAATTTCTTACTGATCAAGCTTAAAAATTATTAGAACTGTTTTCCAAGAACATTGCACCTGCTGGAACGGCTCCGTTTCGTTTGAAAATAATACTGTCAGAAAATAGTGTGATGCCTCTCTCTACCTCTAAAAAAGAAGGAAAAAAAGAAAAAATAAAGTGACTTGAGTCCAAGCCAAATGAATTTACACTCATTTAGACTGCGACAGAACATCATTTCGCATGAAATGTTAATGCAAGAATCGAGATGGCAGATCCTCTGTCACAGTCTGAAAGTGCATAAACTTAGTTGGAGTGGATTCCATTTAATGAAAGATGAGTTCTAAATCAGTTTGGTAGTCTTGATTTTATTGACCCACCCTCTTATTCCAGTATCTCAATGGTGAACCTACAAAAACATGCATTTTGTTTATGGTGTCAAATAATTGCCTCTTCAGTTTTTTTTGTTTTGTTTTTCTTTTAAGGAAAACTGATCATCTCTATTTAAGCTCTTCTAAAATATTCATCACACATTGGAGATCAACCAATAGAATTTTCAAGAAATGTTCTTACTTTGTCATCAATTCAAAAATGAAGTCTGACAAAAGATGTAAATTTCAGTGAATTCAATTACAAGTTTTTTAGTTTATGATTAATTTGTGCTAGGCTTGAATTTTGTTTAATTTGGTTCTGTTTTGTTGTAACAGGTTTACCGTGGTGATGAAAACCGAACGCGAGTGAGTGGGTTAGAATCAAATGTAGATTATCTGTTGCGCGTTTGTGCCATCAGGAGGGCCCCGAAAGGGAAGCTTCAAGGACCATTCTCGGCGACAACCTCGTTCTCCACTCTTCCTGCTCTAGATAACTCTTACAATTCTCAATCTTCCAAGCAAGCTAATTTACAGGTCAGTACTCAAAACCTCCTTCCGCCCTGTGAATATCCCTAAATATGCAGTCAACTCCCCCTCAAGTGACAATCCGCATCAGTGAAAAAACCTGCCATGTAAGCATGATTGTCCAAGCCCATTTTCTGCCTAGTCGCTGGTGCAGAAAACTGAAGGCTGTTGTTTCTTGTTTTGTTTTATTTCTGTTTGTTTGAGGAACCTCCTTTAGGCAGTGCAAAATTAAAACTCAAATGGTTGCCCACTTAGAAGGAGTTGACTGTAATTCTTTCAACTGATATTAAGATTTTGTCAAGATGCAAACTTTTTGTAGCCTAAACAACTCTGCAAGTATACTACCTTGATTACCGTTATTATTTTTTTTTAAAGTTTCAAGTACCAGTAACAACACCAAAAGACAAGTCACTTTTAAATAATGAACTTGCCAACTAAAATTAATGCATTTTGCGCCACTCTTGGTACATTCCTTTCCTTTGCTAGAGAAGATCCAAAATAATAGGAGCTCCAAGACTCCAAACGTTTTTACCTGCTGCCTGATCAGTTTTTTACAGGCAGTTTGGTCACTTGATTGTTTCGCACATACTTTCAATTTTTTTGATTATTACTTGCAAAAATGTTGTTATGACGTTCTGATAATTTATCAAAGTAATAATGATGAGAAAAGCAAAGAGGAATGCTTCACCCAAGGATTTTCATTTTAGAAGAGGCTAATAGGCACAACTTCTAGTTTTTGGGTGTTATTTTAATGAATGCTTTTCAAAGAAAATTTGGCTGTTGAGTTTGTCACAAGAAGTGTGCTAATGATGGATCATGTTTTGGCAGGTGAACGTTAGGCATCATCTGAGTGATCAGCAATGGGCCCTGATAATTTTGAGCGGTTTCCTCGTCTTTGCTGTAGTCGTAGCGTGTATTGTCCAGCAGATCATCTACTGAAACGAAAGTCAGAACGGCCAGCACGAAACGCTCGAGCCGTTTGCGAAAAGCCTACTGCGAGCACTCCCTCTTGCATACATCAAGAATGAAGATGTTCTGCGTCTTGTCAGTTGGAAACGAGATTTGATTGGATTTGATCTGTGAATATCCAGCTTGATATCTGTCTTTCTCTTTATAGTTAATTTGAATTTTTCCTCTTTGTACATAGAAAATGAATATATATTGTTATTTATCGTATCTTCCCATTGATCGATTAAACTGTGTGATAGGTCTTGTTTTCATGTTTTTAATTATTTTAATGAATAAGTCTATGTTAAATGAGTTTAAATTATATATATGATGAAAGGAAAAAAGTAAAGAAAATAAAATAAACCTATGGTATGCTTTCCCTCTATTTGTTTATCGTGATTTTTTTTTCTTTTTTTTTTAAGACTGTATCCAGCCTGTCGTATACTTTTTCAAATGTTTTCGTGGCCTTTGATTAAACAATTAGAATTACGCTATATTTGTACGGAGATTGAAGTTAATTAAAAGAATATATTGTTACAAGATGTTACTGAATTATATCTGAATTTTCTATTATGTTTCTTTTTAAAAATTAATTATTGTGTTTAACTGTAGTTGAGTACTATCATATTTTATCATTTTATTATATTTTTTAAATGAGTCTCCACTCCCACGCCAACAATGAATTTCTGTCAGTGTAACTGGCCTCTATTGTAAGTGTATCGCGTATTTTGCGCAATTTGCGTGTTTCCAATGTCATGACCTGTATCGCTCGTTATTTTTCTTACTCGTGTCATGTACAATTATATTTTTTCCCGTTAACTTGTGAAACTCGAGCTCTTCACTCGAAACTCAATCAAGTCACTCGGAAAGTCATTGTTAAATCTTTCTTTTTTGAATCTGAATGATTGCAAATTTTATTTTTATTTTGTTGCTCATAGGTACCTAGGCTTTCAATATTTACTGTGCAATAACCTCTATCATCCCTCCCCCTCTCCCCTCATTTTGCTAATGAAGCTATTTCCACACAGCGATTCCAAAATTCATGCATTTTTAATTTGTTCATTCCCTGTCCGTTTTACGCTTTCGTGTTCTTTTATCTCCCACTTTTATGATGCAAATTTTCAACTCTCCAGGATGCAAGTATTATTCCCTCGCTTCTGTTTGCCCGCGTGGAAATGCCCAACTTCTAGAAAAATCACTCGAGAAGAATTTTCATTCATAAATTCATACGCTTTTAAGAATGTAATTACCAAATAGTATTTTTTTACCCTGAATTCTGTCGTGTATCACCTTTAATGTAACTGATTTTTTTTTTTTAAAAAAAAAAATAAAAAGTAAAATGAAGAAGTAGAAAAATAACTATGAGTAAAATATGAAACAATCTGAAACATAATTTTGAAGTCAATCGACCAATTCTGCTCCCCGTATAAATTGAATTGAATCGGCATTCCAAATTGTGATACTTGCATGCTACTTTCTATATAATCGGCTCTCTACCGAGGAGCCACCCAGAATCTGTATTGTTGTTTTATCTTTGTGTCTTTTTATCTTGTCCTATAGTCCATGTCGATTAGTCTTCCTTCAAATGTAGAAATTCTAAACTCAGTCTCACCGCTTTTCATCATAATCAACTTCAGACATGCCAGAACTGCTTTCAATGTTACATTCCTAATTTCTCGTAGTCGAACTTTTAACCGCTGCGTTTTTACCGTATTAATAGTGAATTTGAAATGGAGTCTTAACCTTAATGGAGTTTTAATGATATAGAGGACGGAACTTGAAACTGAGCTGTTGAGCTCCAACCACTAATTTCTTTTCATGTTAAGGTTGATTTTATTGACAAAATTGAGATCAGATCATTTTAATTCTTGTGGGAGTGGCTACAGCATAGAGTGCAATTAATGTTCGCAAAACAGTTACGGATTTTCCCGGCCGAACAAACCAGCCCTTCAGGGACAAAATCTGATATTAATTTGGAAATAAAATTTGCCCATTATAATTTAATTGTTCCCTCAAAAAATTTCTTGCATAACTAAATCCTCCAAGTAGCTGTAAAAAACTTGTAAACTTTGCTCAGCTAGTATCCTCTAACACAGGATGCACAACTGAGGGACCTGTAATCTCTTCATTTTAATTAGTCTCTGAGAAGAAAGAAATAGAATTTTCTTGAGGAAACATCCTTACTTTTGTACCGTTGCGTTGTCTTTACCAAATTTCTCACTAGATTGTGGGAAAGTTTTACCTCAACCTCTCATTGTCATTGTATGCCTTATGTTCAATCTGTCATTCTCATTAAGCCACATGTAACGCACCAGAACTTCACTTTAATGAGAGTGTTAACTGCAGGGATCTTTTTCATTGTTTCTTTTTAACCTTTGAGCACTTAATCAGACTACCAAAATCTATTCAACATTAATCCATTCATTAGCCCATGGGCTCTTACGTGTCAAGTCTTAAGTGTTTGTAATCAGTATATTGTTTTAGAATGGTTTCATTAATTTCATGTAACTTATTCATTTTTCGAAATCATTTGGGTCATTTGAAAGAAGCGTGGATTAAACTGATGTCATTTATAAATAATTTTATTTAAAACTAGTTTTGTCGCTGGTGCTTAACTCATCAACAGGAAGGATCCAGCCCTTGCAGTAGAACAAAAAGAATCCAAATTCTAGTCATTGTAGAAGAGCACAGTAAAATTTTTGTCGAATTTCTTAATTTGTTCCCTTGTGGTGTAATCTTACAATCAGAAAGGTATGTAGCACCATTCGGTCTCTCAAACAGTCGTAATGTCAAAGCATCCGACCATGTAATTGTATCAAAGTTATTGTGGTCAGTAATAACTACCTATAAATTATGCAAATTCTTTCTCCAATCGTAAAACTTAAAGGTGAAGTGCTGGACAGACGTTCAAAGTGAAGCCCCAAAGTGATGGCTGTTCAAGTATTACGCATCATCGATGTCAAAGAGGGGAGCGGCCTGCTCACCTTTGGAGGTAATCGATGATATCACTTGGCCAAACAGCCATAACTTTGGAACTTCACTTTGAACGTCTATCCAGGCCTGAACTGAAGTGAGATGTGCTACTCAACAATTGAATCAAACCAAAATAAATGAAAAATTGAAGTCATTCCCTGCTTCAATATATCATTGCAATACATTACGCAGAGTTCTTTTTTTCATCGATTTCGCCAAGCTTTACTTTCAACTGACACACCCTTCCCTGAAACCATTCGAGTTCTTACAGCTTTTATTCCAATCTGGAAGGTTCAGAGGAGATTGTGGAACTTTTTATTTTGGTTCGTCAATCTGCTTCGCTCCATCGAACCGCAAATGTTTAGAACTGAGTTAAATATGGTTCATTGAACTAGTTTAGCGAAAGTTTGATTATGATTCGACCGTTTGGATAGGGCTGAAGTCTTTTTCTGCATTTTTCTCTTTGTCAGCTATCAGCCTGAAAAGCGAAGGTTTTGGTGATTTGGTTCAGTGAAAGGTTTGATTTCTGGTTAGCATACGTCTTGACCTACTATCAACTATGAAGGTATCAGTGAGATCAATCCAAATTTCTAGCTCTTTTTCCCCCTTTTCTTTCCCTTCATCCCAGGAATGAGAAATGCTAACTTTTCTAATGTTAATTTTCTTAATTGTTGACCACCATGGTTTTTCCCATTGCATAGCCCATATTGTAAGGCAATCATTGCTAAAAGATGATCGTCGAGGCTTGTCATTAAGTGTTGGTAAATAGATCTAAAAAGTCACACAACCAAGACGTATGATAACGGAGATCGAGGTTCCAATATGACTTGAATTGTAACTGATTGTCAAGCGTTCAGATGAAACTAATCTATCTGGCTTAGTGGGTATATCTCTTTTCGCAAAAGCAAAGCACCTGTAACTATTGCTGTTGTTATTTTATAATCTTTTATCAACGTATGAACTATTATTTTTATTATTATCGCAATTACTGTATGGTTTTCTTTATGTAAGCTTTCTTGGTTCTTGTAGCTATGTACCGATCGTGCCTAATTGCCTGGTTTTTTCCTAAAGTTGGATGAAAATCCAAAACCCTAACCTCAAAATAAATTCCGCATCCCTGAGGATAATTTTTGAAACGATTCCAGGAACTTCGGCTAAAGTTTATGCTTGGTCAACATATAGAGATAGAAATTTGGTGTATGTATTGATCACTATTATTTACCAGTTTTATCTCCTTCTCCCCCCCCCCTCCCAGGACTGAAAAATGTTCCTAATTATAGAGAATCAGAAAATTTGATGGAAGGTAACCCTCAACAAACAGACCAGCAATTTACTCTTGGTTGAACTCCACCATCGGCTCTATTGATAAGCTAATTCGAGTGTTTCAAACTATTTTTGTCTCATTGAAATAAAATTAAATGATTTTTCTCGGATTTCTTTTTTGCCATTTCTTAACCGTTGAACCAACAACTCGAAAATCATTACTTGGTGAATTTTATGATAATCTTAAATTTTAAGTGGACGGAACTGTTCAAAACTGTTCTGGTCATTTATGGCTCTGGTTATTTTTACCTCTGTCATTCTTCATTCACATCATTGTCCGAGGCAATTCAAAGTACAGAGCTACAAACCACTATTCCTGCACATCTCTGCATTAAATTTTGCTTATTACTTTTTGCTTACCTGATAAGTTGAGACTATTTTTGCCAAGCAGGTTAAACACTTATATTTGTGCAGCAGTATTTTTTAATTGTAATGAATCTAGTAATATTTCCTTCATCCATTTTCGTTACTTTGATAATTTGGGTCGAAATTTGCAAGGTGTGCAAAGGCTATATGATAACGTTGTAACTTCAAGATCGTGGGGTTTGTATTCATGTGAACTTTAAGGGGAAAAGTCAGAATAAGAGCCTGAGTAATTCTAATGGAAACGGGAAAGCCATTACAACAGGGTAAACAGAATAAGCTTTTATCGAAGTTTTGAGTTTTTACAAGTACTCTGTGGAATGTCAAAACATAATTTTACTGTCAAAAATTGTATTCGTCCTCAATAATCGTTTAAATTTTCACCTCAATTTTTTTTTTTTTTCAAATGAAGATTTTGAAATATGGTTCCTAGGATATTGAATTTAGCGTCAAATTTCGCTCTGCCACAAAAGTAGCTTGGATGATGAGTTTGCCTGCTTTGGAATGTATCGTATATTTCAATTCAATGAAAACTAAAGTGGTCATGGGGTAAATTATAGTCAATTATAGCTTGAAATCTGTTCCGTTGAACTGTAAACTATATACTCTCAGAAAGTTTAATATTCAAGTTTTTAAATTCTACATAAGTTAATTATTTTAATCATTCAAAATATCATAATTTTATTTGCTATTATTTTTATTTTTTCATTTTACATATTTTAGTTATTTATCAAATTCTTTCCAAGTCTTTGTTTTCTTTGCGGACATTTAACTCATTGACCATTGATGGATAACTCCTGTATATAATCCGAAAGTAATATTTTTATTATTAATATAGATTATTATTTATTTTATTTTTTATTTATTTTTTTTTTATTTTTTTATATAGTTTATTTTAACTTGAATTCAACTTCAAATAGATAATTTATCAAGATTTCTGTTATTGTTATATCTAGATAAAATTTAAAAAAAGGAAAAAAAATGATAAAAATTAAAATTTACTTATTATATTTACACTCAAAACTCAATGTACAATGAAATTAAATCAATGGACATTTTAAATAAATGAATATTCATTTTTCAGAACTGAGGTCATGATTTATTTTCTCACCCTTACCCGCGTTTTTTTTGTATCTTCACTTTTAACTACAACTAGTTCCACCATCAGAGGTTCAGAGTGCAGAAAAGTGATATTCTTCAAACTTTATAGTAAAAGCCTCATGAGCAATATTTACTTGATTTTCATGAAAGTGAATGCAGCGACTGTGATGTTTCATAGTGACCTGTTTGCCTTGCCTTGTCAAAATGCCTCCTTTGGACGAAAATGAACTACACTCTAGTTGACATGTAAAGTCAAGTGTGTATATTTTCATATCGTATTGCCATGTTTAAAAATCTTCAATTATGCTTTATTTTCTTCAAGGAAAACTAATCAAAATGTCGAGTACATTCTCACAAAATTTTAAGTTTCAGTGTTGCTTAGTTTTCACATTTCTATTTAAGAAATAAAATATCGGAAAAAATTAGGCGATGTCTGCTGTAGTCAGGTTGATCGAAATTGAATCCATTCGGACAGAAAATACTAGAGAGAAGAAGGAAGAAAATCAAAACCATTCTTAAAAAATCATTTTTTTTTATTATTATTTTATTCAGTTCAGTAAAATATCTCTGATAACAATGATTTCAGTGAAAAATAAAGGAGAAATAGTTTCTGAAAATCAAGAAAAAATTTAAGTAGAGAAAAAGCATAGCTTTCTAAAAGATGGTAAAATTATTCAAGGAAAACTGATGATGCTGCACTTTTTGGACTAAAATTTATGGACTTTCCTTGGAACTCTCTTGACTTGGTTCCAAGGGACGTCTAAAAATTCTGGCTGATAAGTTGATTGACAGCAACACTTCAAGTAACATAAGAGTGATTCTATGGGTTCATATCAAAAGGGATTTTTGACATAAATGAATCAAAGTTCTGTTAATTATGAAAAAAAAAAAAAACCCACGAGGGAGGTAAAAATAAAACAGAAGGGTCAAAGATGTGCATTTTTTCAGCCAAAGATTCTTGACACAAAGCCAATGAATAGCTTTATTCTGGAGCCGTGGGAAGTCAGGGATTGTTTTCATTTAATTGACTCTCAGCTGGGCGCTGGCTATGTCAGAATGGTTTCTGTGGGAGGTTAGTAAACTCTGGCTCAACTAACGCTACCTCTGATACGAATTAAGGGTCTTAAAAATTATTTTCAGAAGAGAATGTTACACACTTAGCAATCAGAATGAGATGAAACGGCCCACTGTAATATTAATCATTTTAACATTTTCAGCTACAAATAAACAAACAAAGAAAAAAATAAAACTATGATAAAATTCAACTCCTCAAGGTGGAACCACCCTTTCACTATATATGAATCAACTGATAAGATTGCTAAAGGTGGTATACAATTTGATCATTTCTGAAAGATCATAAATCAATACCGTCAAAAATAAAATGACTTGTAAGATATGATTCCATTATCCATGAGCATTACAACAGAGGGGGTCTAGCTCATCATGAAATTCTGATTTTCAGAAAGTGATCAAATTGTGATGCAATTTTAGCTCATTGACTGACCATGACATGACCATTGACTGGTTCATGAAAAAGAAGTACCACCTTGAGATCAAAAACATTACATACATTTCAACAGGTACCCGAGGAGAAGAGTTCAATAAATAATATAATTTTTAAAACATAAACCATACTTAGAAATACCTATGGCTTTAAGATCACGTATATACAATGAGATAAACCATAATTTCTGGATTTTCTGATGTGAAAATCGAAGTAAGTAGCTACAAGAAATAGTCAAACATCTCAGATCTAATATTTCAAGGCGTGAAACTGTTATTAACGTCTTAAATAGCTGTGCCTAGGGTCCTAAAAAATTTCTTCAGTAGAGGCCAGTTTTATGATCTGAACTATCTGAAGTCAGGACTGAAATATATACTATTATCAATATTAAACTGTATCGATGGTGAAAGTACCAAATTGCATAACTCGATTTACTGATGTCACAATGCAAATTTTGCATTTTACTTTTCCGAGGAAGGCCTGATCATCGTTTTTGCTTGATTTTTCTTCGTCCTTTCGATAACATTCTCCGAAAATATTGTGCAAAAAAGTCAGTCAGTTTTTTCTTGAAAACATAAAATAAGAGCGGAAATTTTCAATAACCGCAATCAAAATCCATGCCTTGTATTTTCACCATCGAAATGTGACCATTTACAGGTAATGGGACCTTAGTTTCCGACAACAAATTGTTCAGAGAGCAATTTATGTTGAATTAAGTCAAAATATTGGTATTCCCGTTTATCTTCGAAAAAATTCTCTAGCATCCCGAAGAGCAAGTTGCCGTTAAACTACATATGTAGTTTATTTTAATGCCAATCAAGAATGTAGAAATTCATTAAATTCCGAAAGTTTTGAGCTCTTAGCAGGGAATATTTATCTTTTTTCTTGGAGAAATATTTTTGGTACACATTAGTTTTAGCTATGTTGCAGCAATAATTTTTATATCCGCTTAGAACTACATGCCAAGAACTAATCCAACTAAAAAAAGAAATCAAGGAGTTTAAAGTTAAGCATACCAATTGTGTTCGAAAGGTCATGGATTTTTTAATAATTATTGATGTAGTGGGTATTTTCAATTTTTATACGAGCTGAGAGATTTTAATTGGTGCAACTGAGTTCAGTGCATTATGCAATACAGTGATAAAAAAATTGATTTAAGCACAATTATCCTAAGATTCCTGAGCGGCTCTTAAGAAGCCAAACTTTGCATTTCAAGCCAGTCAATGAAGGCTTTCTTAAATTTTAAGTCCATTTTTAGAGTGCTCCTTTTCCTTCTGACAATAACAGATGAGACTCGATGCAGATTTCAACTAAAACTAAATACATGCTGCACTAGCCTAACCAAAAAATGTCTACAACAGCAATTTTATTGCTGGCTTAAAAATCAGTCTTGATGAAGAAAGTCCTGATAAAATCATTTCTTATACTTTCTTAATCAACTCTCCTTTGCATAAATTTATACCAAATTAAAGTCTGGGAGGAATGATTCCATGATAATTCGATGATAACAATAGGCTTGATTTTAAAGTAGATATAACTCGAATAACTTAAGTAGATACAGAGAAAAATGTGCACTTAAAAACAAAATAAAGGTTTCAACGAAATATAATCACAGCATAAAATTGTCAATGCTCTTCTTGGAGAGTTAAGTATACCAAGTTAAAGCTCATTATATAGTCTGAAAATCGGAAAGTTGTTTAAAATCAGGAAAATCGTTTGATTTCTGAAAACAACGTTTCTCAAATCATTTGTTCTAATTGCCAGCCCTCAATTGTGGTCAGGTACTTTTTTAAATGTCACAAAGAATAAATAAACTGCAAACGTACTTCAAATTGTCGCTCATCATTAACAATTAGTTCACCTCAAAATGAAAAATTCAGGACAGTTACAGAGCAATACAGTGGAATCCTATTCACTTTACAAAAAGAGGAACTGAAAATCTTTACTTTGTTGCCCAGCAGCCACTTTGCATTCACAGTTTAGTTTGATCTGGCCTCAAGACATAATGATGGAACAATGGAGTAAAAAAGATGAGTTGTGATCGAATAAGTACTTACGACATTTAAGACAGAAAGAGGAAAACATGAAATTCAAAATGCATCTAAAATTTTGAAATGTTGAGCTGCAAGATACATGAGTGGCAAGAGGAGGCACCGGTACTATTTAATGTTTTACAGTGATAATTCACTACAGGACAAAATGAGGGCTTTGTCAAAATTAAGTTTTCAAAAGTTCCAGCAACGTAATTCCAAAATCTACAGGAACAGAGAGCTTTGCTGTCAGAAATGACTGGAGGAACAGAGAATACAGTGATCTAATTTGTAAATAGTCCCAAAATTTCTGAGAGAGGAACCTAACAAAATAAAACTTTTATTAAGTAGCTCTAGTGTTAACGAAGTAATGTGGCCTTGATGGCACATTGTAAATATTACTAAAAGCTTAGTGAAAGCATCAATGACGCTGAATTACCACCCAGAGAAGGGCAGCGCATCAATTTGAAAATCACAAGCAGGAAATGCACATACTTTCATGACAGAAAGATTAGATAGATGACTGCCATAAGAAAACGGCAGGAACTTTCGGAATGAATAGAAAATAAATACAAGCCATAGACAAACTAAAATATAATAAATAAATGACACTATCCTAACTAAATTGATCTTGGTGTAAAGCTTAAGTAGACAATCAATGTGTTCAACCATTGCGGCTGTGAGCAAAATTTTGAACACGAGGGCTGGGAAATAGTGATGTAAGAACAATGTGCGTTCTGCAAAGAAAAATGGGAGGTAATGCAAGCTGTAACCCAAAACGCAAAACTTGCCGATGTCAACAAAGTGATCCCATACCTCCTGTGGCAGATCATAGCAAAGCCTGCGTCGCCGTAAGAGGTAAATCGTGAAAAGGCCTGCATACATCAGTAATGAAATCACTCCTGACCGCCAGATGATTCGATTCCCAATTAAGTAAATTTGGTTCTCTTCAGAAGTTGAACTTAGCCAATAGGCAATGCCTCGGGACATAAGAGGCCACTCAATTGGCTCTGAGCTAAAAATGTGGTCTTTGACATTTTCTAGGTGAGAGAAGAACATTTTGTACTGAAGCTCCACAAATTTCTGCCAGAAAGACATCGTCGTCGCTGTGAGTGGAATCATTTCAGCACTCAACAAATTCTTCTCTCGTAACTTTTCATCATCTGTTTTCGTGTAGCGGTGTTCTTCAACGTTCCAGATGGTATCTCGCTGTTGGACCTCCTTATCTGCAACCACTTCATACTGAAAGAACGCCCAGTCCGGCAACTGTTTCCCACTGAATTTCAATGCTTGACTTGAGTTGACATGCACAAGTCGCACTTGTGACTGAATTGTGTGCCATTCGTTGTCCGTACTTCCTGGGTCTGACAACTCGACTCTCCACAAATTCTGGGCCGGCATTGAGACATTGTAATCAATGTAGCAAGACACTTCTTGATTCTGTGGTGACATGGGAGCTGCTACATCATGGGAATTTAGTGCTCGACTAGTGATCCCATGGATTAACTGGATAACATCACCATGCTTGATAACGTCGATTGGTTGCGATACAACTAAGTTTGACTTGTTTGGGCGTTTCACAATCCACCAGTTATTGACATCCTTGAACGTATAGCAAGTGACTTGTTGTTGGTGTGAGCTCCCGCGTTTATCTGGGTAGCGCAGGGGGTAGACAAGCTGATGTGAGTGCAACCAGCAGAGCTTCCCATGTGTGTGTCGGAGTGTGATCTGCGATCCATGCGCGATTTTCAGAGGCTGGCCTTTAGTGATGGAGGCAAGACCACCTTCAAGACTAGCTTGGAAAGCAGATGTCATAATGGAATCATGAGGACCTGCTTTGTTGAGAACTGTCAAATGGACGTAAAATATGGAGAGATATATAAGCACAGGAACTAAACAGACCATGAGAATGCGGGCGACAGCTCCCAAGAATGCTTTTACATCAGAGATGAGTTTGTTACCAAGAACCTTGTCCCAGTAGTCTACAGATATGATGATCATTGCTAGACACCAGGAGAACCAACCAGCAAGTTTCACACTGTGGCAACACACAAACATTCAGGATTAGACGGTTTGACTAATAAAAACATGAACACAGAAAGTGGTGAAGACCAGGGATTGGGCCTTGATCAAATTATGGAAATAAAGTAAAGAGAGTCAAAAAATTTAAAAGGACCATTAAACGTTTTTACTCTGATATTTATTACAATAAAGACTATGAGAGTTTTGCCTTGTAGTGCTAATTTTTGACGATCTCAATTATTTAATGGTGAGATGACATTCAGAGAACTACGGCATACAACTTGGATGGTATTTTAGTGGCCAAAGTGTGATACTATATGTACATTTATCCAAAAGTGCCTAATTTTTACAAGAGCCAAAACACTATTCTTCCTAACCATTTAAGGTAAATAGGGTTCAAAATCGGAGACAAAAATAATATTCTGTAACATTCTATTTGTAAGACATACATAAGAACAAATCAATTGCTAACTCACCAGAAGCTGAACGTCAGGAAAACTGAAGCCAAGAAAAGCCAAGCCCACCATTCTAGTGAATATGACTCAGACTTGAGCTTACGGAATTTTTGCAAACATAGCAGTCCAAATAAAGAAAAGAAGAGTAAAATTGACTCCATCAAGACAAAGCGAGACTGCGTCAAAAGAGCATTATCTGAAAGAATGAGAAATGATCATTTCATTAAGGATAAGACAGATACAAAATTACACAGAATTGAGTGAAAGGAAACATTGCAGTACCACAACTCGTCTGAATTTTCCGAATATATTAAATACGAAAAATAAGACAAGATGCTCATTAAAATTTCATAATTTAAATTGACACCGATTCAAGGCCAAGGGCATTAGAGATTTCTTTTCATTATACTTTAAAGTGAAAGGGAAAAGTCCACTAATTCTCATGAAAAAGTTATATGAAAAAAATTCAAGCTTTAAGAATATTTTAACGACCAAAAAGTGGTCGATGCTTTTATTTCTTATCAAGGCCTGAGGGAGCACTTCAGTCCTCTGGAGATAAGCTGCAGTTTCAGGGTCTCCCATTCTTTCCGAGGGGGTTTTTGCCGATTGGTTTTCTATGCAACTCTGTCTTGGTCGAGATTTTGAGATATTCTGACAGATGCCCTCTCTTTCTTCACTCTTGCCTACTGGATAGAACTTCCTACGTCCTGCAGCCTGATTGTTGAAATTTTTTGTTCGTCGGGACGACATACATGACATAGGTTAAAAGGCGGAGCGTGATTGGTTGGCTATAACTTATCGCTGCTTTGTCGTTCCTATGTAGGGTAGAACTCACGATAAAGCTAACGACACCTCCTTAGTTTCCAACAGTATGTCGTCCATTTCACCTGACAAAGGCACGACAAAGCAGCGATAAGACATAGCTGACCAATCACGCTCTGCCTTAAAACCTATGTCATCTATGTCGTCCCGACAAACAAAAAATTTCAACAATCAGGCTACTGCTTAGTTAAAATGAATTGTTGAAGTAAGGTGCTTAGGCTTTCACATTAATTTTCTTTTCCTTCATATTCTTTTATTCAACTTGATTTTGCTGAAAAATGGGGTTTATTCATTGTATTCACTGCTGCTACAAGAGACTACATATTCTGTTCAAACACTGGAGAGAACTTTCCCAAGAAATCTTTATTGTTTCTTTGAGTTCATTATTTGAAGTCTACAGCTTAGCGACACTGTCACAGGAGAAAGGCAAAATACTTTTCACAGGCATAAAAATTTAGGGGGTGTCACACCTCACACCACGAAACGACCTATTAAAAATGAAGATTAGTCCAAAGCAAGGGTGAGGAAGGAGGTGTTGAAGTTGTCATTCATGAGCCAGTTTTCCTATTTTACCCCTAAAAATCACAAAATTGTGATTGTTTCCTCGAAGAATTCGATAACTTATTTGATTTTTTTTACAACAAATCATTTCAAGGTATCCTACTGGCTTGAATTTTTTAGATACAGTCAAATTTCGTTCAACTTGGATTTCGGTGCACTGTAAGGTGATATCGAGTCTTGATCTTGACACTCTATTCCTTGACAAAGTAATGCTAATAGTCATGCTGTATTCTACTTCTCCTAGGAGCTTTTGAGGAATGCCACTTACCACACAGAAAGAGAATAGCAGCTATGAGTGCTGTCCACTGGCTGGAACCCATTTCTAACATAAAATGATAGGCCGTTGGCACCAGAAGACTACCACACAATGCAGGTATGAATCTCAGAGCCACCACTGGAACATTCTCCGAGTACTCACTTGCGATGTGCTCAAATTTGTATTTACCTAAAAAATCATGCATAGTGAACAGTTACTAAATCTGTGCAGTAACAAAAATTTTCATTTCTTCAAAAAGACTAAGGATAAAGCTGCTATCACAGCGCAGCCTCGCGCCCTGCAACTAAGACGTCTAAGTCTAAGGATCCTATGATATTATATAACATTCTGCCTTGGATAATTACTTGAATCATGTCATTCCAAGATATACCATTTCATTTTTACAACCTATTGGACCAATCCTGCTTAACGCTCATCATTTATATTTTATTATTATAGAAAATATGTATTAAGAGCTTATGATCACTTTTCTGGCAGAGAAGATTATAGTCAGGCGGGATGAAAGAAGGTCAAGAAAAGAGATTTGAGAAGAAAGATTGAGTTCTTTCAAACTTTAAAAAATTCAATTATAATAAAGACAGAAATCTTTCACCTGAGTCAAAGTTATGAAAAAATATCTGCAGAAAGTCATGGACTAACTGATTAGATAGTCAGTTGAATATACTTTAAGAGGATCGTGACTACCTACATTTTTACTCCCTCTTATGAATACGTTTTTAAAAGTTACTGAAATGATATTTAAGTTGCACATTGTCTGGTCATTATGAGAGGCAAAAATGAAAATAAGTAAATAAATCCAGCACCTTCAATGACGAAATCATTTTCCTGATATTCTATCATCTCAAAAACTCTCATAACTTATTATCACTGATGACGATTTTATCATTATGCTCTTCTAATGAAACTTTTTTTAATTTTGATCTGACAAATTGCAAAACCAATAAGCTGATTTTTTACAGGAGAGAGACTTCCTAATTACTATTTTAAAGGAGTCTTTCTTCCTGGATTTGATATGAAAAGAACAATTTCAAAATTTTGTGAAGGATAGACTTAAAAATATTGGGCAGTAGTTCTCTCATTACTTTCAGTGTTCTTACTTTATGAAAGAACCATGCCTAGAATACCAAGAGATTTGGCGCCAACTAAACTTTGTTTTTATTTGGAATGATGTCCTTTTCAACTTCCTGAGAACGATGAACTTCACAGATCAAACTTTTTAAGAGGCAATTTGGAGAAAAGGAGGACTGAAAAGTGAATTTTTAGCATTTTTCAGTACAATGTTGTGATTGATGATAAGAGTAATGAGGAGAGGCTTTTCTCCCTCAGACAAAAAGAATGAAATTCTTCCGAAAATTGATGGCGGTGCGGTGTAGTCTATACATTTTCAGCGGTAGTCTCTCAGTTCTGGAAGAAAACGCGTGTGAAATTGTTGACATAATCTTTATTCAGCCCTGCTTTCCTTGACGTAGGCGCATACAAAGTTCAATTTTAAAACCTCATTATGCTCGGTAGGTTGAAAAGAACAACATACCAAATAATAACGGAATTTAGCCAGCGTCGAATTTTATGGTTTTCCACACAGGGTCTTCTGGTTTAATTTTTCCTTGTAATTCAGAAAAAAAACTTGACTGCAAAAAAATTCATGAAAATCAATCTGAACGCATACCATCAAAGCCTGCCAGGTAAGCGGCCGCTGAAATCAGTTGCTTCCCAAAGGGCGGCTGTGAGTCGAAGAAAAAGGTTCTCTTCATGTAAAGTCCTACATATTTGCCGTAGTGAAGCTCATCAAATCTGGAATGAAAAAAAAGAGCAATGCCAGATTTTGATTAATTAGATGCAAAGCTACAGATTAATGAACCCTTTAGGTGTTGAAAATGCAAAATAATCGAACAGTCAGAAGGAGAAGTCGTTCGTCAAACTGAGAACCCATAAAACACTATCTGACCTAATCAAACCAGAATCAGTCTAACTACATCGGACATTGCCTAATTTACTCTCATGCTTTTTAAACTTTTAAGACGGAAAACCAAGCGTCACCAAAATTTTAAATTTTGTAATATATTCTATATAATGTAGGATATATTTGCAGAAAGTTTAACTGTATTTTTTACAATTCTTTTCTGATATAGGAAATTTAAGAATTATATATTTAAAAGTGAAAAAATATACGGCCTTGTGACATCATGTGGCAGCATCTGCCATTTAAAAACACACATATATATTATATATATATATATATAATTCTTTTTTTAGCAGAATAAATTATTTTGTCACAGCTTCTTAAATAATTGTTCAATATAGAAACCAAGAATATTTTGGTGTTTAGATCACTCGGCAATTTCCATTCATACCAAGATGAAATTCATCTTTCAGATACCTGCAAATTCGCTTTGACAACAGGGCTTGCTTCTAAATAAAAAGTTGATGAAGTTATTTTGAAAGAAGGAAAGAAATCTCCCGGAGGTTCTCAAGTTATAAGAAAAGAAAGAATCGCTTAAGCCATTACCTATGGTGAATGATTAGCTTGCTTTTTGTGGGTTGATGAACCTTGTGCATGAAAAAAAAGTATTGGGTAACGCCAGAGGTAAGGCTAGCTTAGGTTGGGATGGAGTGGACATGCACTGCACAGACCCAATTTTTCTGAAGAGAATACCCTTAGCTGCACCAATGGTGTTAAACTCTTGTCAAGTATCATTGGTAGAAATTGTGCCTCTCTTTCGATATGCAACCCTTATTTGATTTCACTGAACATGAATTAGGTAAATCGATGAGAATGAAAAAACAAAACAAAAATCTGTGAAAAATGATTTTACTTACACGATAGCATTTGGTTGAGACAAGCGATAAAACCTTGTGCAGGCTGCAATCACAAAAAGTAAAAGGGAGACAATGTCGACCTCCATGTTGATGATGCCTTTCCTCTTATCAGTTTTTGGAGACATTTTCGCATATGCAACTCCATTGGGCTGAAATCAAAGAGGCAAGGGTAAAATTAAATGGAAAATAATTTATACTTAAACTGAGAACACCAACCTGAGATTAACACTACAAAATACAATTTTTTCAGCACACCTGAGAACCAACGGCTAATTAAACTAAGCGAGGCAGGCTTTTGTACATACCGACACGAAGAGAGGTCCAAAAACTTGCTGAATTTTCTTAAAAATCATCGTTGGATTTGAGTTACAGGACTCAAAGACACTGACTAAGTAAATAGATTCTTGAAACAATCTACATTAAGTTGACACTGACTAAGTAAATAGATTCTTGAAACAATCTACATTAAGTTGCAGGACGATAACTGTGGCCGCGAGGGTAGAATGCGCACGAGAGGGGTCAAACTTTTTTAGAAGAAAACGGTCAAAATGGTCAAAATTAGTGGCTAACGAGAAGCCCTACCATCCGACGTCCATGTCTATCTCACTTATTTCGGGACAGAATACTGAATTGATGCACTTAGGGGGTATGTGAGCATGCTTCATTTGTGTGGGAGGGAAGAATGAAAGAGAGATAATGGTGCCCTGAATTGCCAAAATCGGATAATGATGAGGAAAACCCAGAGAGAAAAACCCCGAGGAAGGGTAAACCCGTGCGGAGAGCGAGCGAATTACGAGTTGCACTGTTCGTAATCTGCCACCGCGACTGCAAGTACTTTTGCGAAATCTCTCTTCCTCGTTTGATTTAAGGGCGCAAGCGTTGCACTTTGCATCGAGCAAAAATCGGAAAAAAACATAGAAAGGAAAATCAACAATTTTCGCCGAGTGAGTTAGTGGGACACGAGGAAACTCAATATTCAAATTACCATTCGAAGACGCTCGCTCTATTTAGATAACATAGGAAACAGCGTCTAAGATACTATTCGCACAAGGCCAGGATCCGAATTTCCAACTCTTAGCAAGAGGAAAAAGTTGAGAAAATACAAACTGCCGTGAAGAGTACCATTCGAATCGATTCAGTTTTTCATACTACAAGCAATTTTACTTCCGACGCGATGGAGAAATGAGTGTCCCGATTTTATTAAAAAAAAAAACTCTGATTTAAAGTAAAGCTGATAGGATGCCCCATATGCACATTGCACAAGTAATCGGATTTTTCCTATCTTCAATAGTTTTGAAGTGAGGGGTAAACGCACAAGACTTTTAGGATAACCCTCGTACAAAGGCACTCTCAGGCTTCAAGTGAATACATGCTCTGAAAATTAGGATAAGCAAATCCATCCATCGCGACATCAAAATTGTAGCATAAAGCAGTATGCCCACCGTTCGATGGAACGAGATTTTCTCGTTACATTTCCTTGAAGAATCGGTCCTTAAAATTTAAAATGTGACGGAATGAACATTAGAATTCCCAGTTTCGGTAAAAAATAACATTTTTGACCTTTCCTACAAGCTTTTCCCGATGTGCCGATGTGCGCCGTAGATGAAGCGGTAAGCGATGAAAGCGCGGAGAGTCAAAACGCCTTCATATTCGTGCGTATGCAACACGGACATCCGTAAAGCTCGAATAGTTGCATCCAGGCGTTACGATACACTTCATTTTAAGTTGTCGCATGCGCATTACCTAACTGAGGACGCTTTGCTTGTTTCCCCTCACACGTTAATTTAATTCTAGCGTTGTCTAGTGTGCCGACGAAGTAAAATATTGCTGATATTTATCGCAACATTTTCAATTTCCCCAATAATACATTTATTGTTAAATTTTCTCTCAACAATTCAGTCCCTCAAAATTTTGAAAAAAATTTAGGTACCAATCCGCGCACGATTTGTAAAGTTCCTTATAAAGCTGCCGTAACGAGTCACCATTTTTTGGATTTTTGAATTTGAAAAGAAAAGGGCGGCCACTGCACTCCAATTACCTCCAAAGCGCAAATTTTCGCTTTGGGGTTTTGCACTTTTGGATTTATGCGCTTTCGGGATTCTATCGGGACATCGAGGGTCTAAGAGGTCTACACATCTTCTCTCGTACCTGAAAATTCCTACTGCATTGTACATTCGAGAATTGCCAAATTTTCTCGGATAAAACATGTATTTTTGGCGGAAAGATATTCATATTTTACCTTAAATTTTCAGATATTTTAGATAGAATTGCGAACAAAATGGTCTAAAAAATTCGTAGAAAAATATTCAAAATTTTCCCAGTAAATTAGGATTTTATTAATAGAAATTAGGCGACGCGCGGACGTTTGAAGGCTCATACGGCGTTTTTCCTTAGCACGTGCCTACCATTCAGAGACGTTGTCGCGAGATTTTATAGAAGATCAGAAGTCACCTTTGAAACCGTTCAGTTTTGAAGTTCCCTTCTCGTTACTTAACGAGAACTTTCGATGTGTATGCCATGCTACACAAAAGAAAATAAGAGGGAGATAAGAATCCTCGAAAGTTTCTATTGTTGCGTAAGAGGCGAATACTTATTCACTTTTTTCTTTTTCTTTAATTGTTGTGGACTATTGTGTGTGGGGATTATGAAAGTTTAAGACTTTTACTCTTAGTTTCAGAAAGCGTCGGATTGAGGTGACAACTCAACACAGCTGTAGTTCATGATTTTTCTATAATGATATCCGATTAACTGACTATCATTTCGGGGTTTTCGGGGACCGTCCATAAATATTGAACCTACTAGTTCTAGAACGACTTAAATATTAAAAGATCGTTCGGTTGGGTAGTCGGTGGCTGAAGCTGAAAATGTTTGCACTGAATTCCTTGAGGTCAAGATACATCATAATAATCTTGGGCTCCAGTCTTAATTTTGAGTAGTTCTTGAGGTCTAGATTGAGACTGGTCGCGGTGTCCACGCAAATTTCACAGCAATTGATGAAGAACATTAAAGATCCCACAGTTTTCACCTCAATCGCGGAAAATACGCCGATTTAACATCGATGCGAGCATAATTTTTATGAGCGTCGTAAATTCAGAAAAGAGAAAAGCTATGAATCTTTATCAATTTCGCATGATACCACATACCTACTACAAAGTTCAAATTGCTCGCTTCAATTTCGACTGTTAAAAAGTGAGAAACAGCGAAATTTCCATCTCAATGTCGCACGTAATGCGTTTTCTCTCTCGCAATTTTGCAAGAAAAAATGGAAAGTTAAGCGAGAGTCAACGCAATATCGCGGAAAATACGCGACTGATCAAGACAGGGCCGGATTTACTTACTTGCGGCCCATGGGCCGCCCCCTTCTCATTCGTTTTGAAACATCAATAAAAACCATCAAGTGAACGTGCCGGAGGGGAGGGGTTCATAAGACGCGTTTACTCGTGTTGGACACATTTTTTGCGAGAGCCCTGTCAACACTATGCTAGCAAAAGTTCACGGAACTTGGCGCGATAGTTAAGTTCCGTAAACCTATCTCTATGTGGAAAATGCCTTCCATTTGTATGAAATGAACGAAAAAATAATGACAGAACAAACATAAATGTGGTTTAATAATTTTAACTTCCGCCGCCGCGCCGCGCTGACCGCTCTGAGTTTGACGCAATGCATGAAGTATTCATGCAGTCTTGTAGGAGCTATGCGTTTCCCGCCGCCCGCTGCTGACCACAGCGACCGCACTGTCTTTGACGCAATGTGTGAAGTATTCATGCAGTCTTATAGGCGCTAATATGTGTTACATGCCGACCGCCACGCCGCGCGTTTCTCCGTTGCATCTCAAGTTCTCGTCATCATTGCTCTCCGCGCCACGCCGTTTCAGACCAAATTCCGTGTTCGGTTTCTCTCTTAGGCTTAACTCGACTAATTAAAGGTGCTGTCTACTGTATCACAGAAAGACGAAAAAATTAGAAATACACTCTCAGGTAATTAGAGATTTTCTCACCTTTTCTCGTTTGTAATTTTTTTCTTTGATTCCGAATTTTCTTCATAGCTACATTTAAAAAAATTGCAAAAGCCGCCCCCCTAAATTTGCCGCCATGGGCCACGGCCCATGTGGCCACCCCCTAAATTCGGTCCTGGATCCAGACGTTTTGTAGGTTGCATCGTACAGTCAGATAGGAGAAAAGCTATAAATCTCCTTCAATTTCGCGTGATACCACACACCTACTTCGGAGTTCAAATAGTTGCTCGCTTCAATTCCGACTGTTAAAATGTAGGGAATTGCGCGATTTTCATCTCGATATCGCGAGTAACACACGATATTTCCAACGGATTCGTTAAGCGCTAGGAAATTACGCACTTCCCATCTCAGTATCAATTTTGCAAAAAAAAGGAGAAATTCACGAGAACCACCGCAATATATACATCGCGGCAAAAACGAGTATGTTTCAGGAGTTCTATAAAATGATTAAAAATTACACATCATTCGCCTCGATATCGCGGCGTACACGCAAATTTTACAGCGGTTGATGAAGAACATTAAAGATCCCGAAATTTTCACCTTCATCGCGGAATAGAAGCGAATTAAATATGGTCAGATGCGAGCATCTGTTTCATGAGCGTTGTAAACTCTGATAGGAGAAAAGCTACAAATCTCCTTCAATTTCGCGTGATACTACACACCTACTCCGGAGTTTGAATAGTTGCTCGCTTCAAATTTCATGTATTCTTACAAAACCGCTGAAAATCTCGCTTGTTTCCCGCGATATTGAGGTGATTAATGCGTAAATTCTTAATTTTTTTACAAGACCTGTGAAAAAATCGCGCATTTCCCGCGATACTGATTGTGAGATAAAGATCTCGTGATTTCTTAAGCTTTATCGCCTTGTTTTTTCTGAACACGTGAAAAAACCGTTGATCAAGCATTTAAGTACGCCTGGAGAAGATTTCACTTAAGGTGAATCCAGGGTTCGATTAGGGATAATTCAAGATTAGAGATAGTGCCACCACTAAGAATTTCACTTTCCTTTGACCATTACTGAAATAATATTGTTCAAATCACAAAAAGGCGATCCACAAGGTATAGATTATTTTTTGCTTGATTTTTTGAGCCAAAAACATTGGCAATCATAATTACAAGCATAGAGAAAGTACAGCTGAAACTTTCAGCTCAGCGGCATTGGCCGAAGGTGCAACCAAATCACTGAATCCCTAACGTTCTGTCTCCCTCTCCCCTATTGCAGCGATGGGAATTACTTTCCTCCATAGTCACCACTTTATTTTTGGAAATTTTGAGAAGATTCTTTTACTGAGTATTCCTCAAATATGTTGCTATATTCCCTGGATCCCCAATCCTGAATAAGAATTGGGGTTTTTATTATTTTGGCAAATATATACCTACTGCTATTCTGAGCAGCGCAACATGGTGGTCAAATCGCAAAGTTCAAAGCCTGGATTCACCTTAAATTTGCTTTCAGAATAAGCATTTTGATCAGGATCGTATCCAACCCATGTCAAGTTGAATAGAATCCATTTCAGATTACTCTTACTCCTTTGCTGTAGGGGCAGGATAGGGAATTCCCTACAGCAAAAGAGGAAAAGAAATCTGAAACGTGCTCCTAAGTATACATGTTATGACTGTGTTCAAACTAAGGCTTTTCGTACATAGTTCCAGATTCAGATAGCAAAATATGGATTTGACCTATCTTGAAACGTTTGTACAAACGTAGCTACTATGATGTCCCCTGCATAGAGGTGTTCTGCGGCAAATATTCACCTCCATCTTCCATACGTCTGGGCTTGGAATGTTGATCACGGATAATAGGGGCATTATTCATAGACTTAATGATAATGGGTTAGACAGATTTACGATCCATGTTATTACCTTGGTCTTGTGAACATTATTTGGAACCTCAGCTGCTGTGTTTTGGTCATCTACGGAGGACTGTATTTTCTTCGGATGATCTCCTTCATCTTCGGACAAAGTCTTTGATGCTTTCGTCGGTTTGGAGCCGTTTTTCATTCCCTTCTTTCCTTTCACCATTTCTTTCATGATTTCAATCCCTGTCAATGGAGATTCACGGTGTTTTCAGTAGATCTTTTCATGAATCATTCAGTGGAAAGTGGTCAATGGCTCTCAGGTGAGGTGTGATGTGTGGATAACGGCACTTTCTACGCACGGACATGTCAGCTATTTTCGGGTTCACGTAAAACACGCAATTGAGCGAATAGGAAACAATTAAAACACTTAAATTAGGAAACACTAACTGTAAGAAAGTTAAGTAGTTGAGCGCCGTAATTTTGAGCTATTTCGATAACTCACACGAACTGAAATATTCGGAGAGAAAATAAACAAAAAATTCTAAAATATTTGTACAGAAATTTGGCATCAGACACAAACGGAATGCCGGAAAGACAGCGTTCACCAAAAGCATCGGTCCTAACCTCTCAAATCTAGAAAATACAAACAAACACAACTAGGAATTTAAATTTTGGGAATATCAATATTTTTTCGCTCAGTGGAAGTGTTTAATAATTAGAAGTCAACAATAGTTTTTCTAATACACCTTAAAATTGTGCTCAGTTTTGATTGTTCGATTTTCCATACTAAATTCATCCTCAACACAATTTGTCAAGATGGCGATGATGCAAAGAAGAGCCAGTGTTCGACTTCCACCAGAGGTAAATAGAGTTTTGTACATCAGGAATCTACCTTACAAAATTACTGCAGAAGAAATGTATGATATTTTTGGCAAGTATGGAGCCATTCGACAAATCCGAGTGGGATCGACCCCGGACACAAGGGGGACAGCGTTCGTTGTGTATGAAGATATCTTCGATGCGAAGAATGCTTGTGATCACTTATCTGGTTTCAATGTCTGCAATCGATACCTTGTAGTCCTTTATTATCAATCGAACAAAGCTTTTAAGAAGGTAGATGTGGACAAGAAGAAAGAAGAAATTGAAAAAGTGAAAACCAAATACGGCATTAACCTGGACAGTGGAAAGTGAGCACAACATGAAGTATGAGTGCAGCAACATACTTGTACTTCAAATACGTGCTGAAATTTGTCAGATCTCAGTGAAAAGTTAATGTTACAATGTAATTGAAACCATCATCATCATGTAAGTGGTGAAAGTCGCAACACATGTATCTTAATTGCAACCTTCTAAATGTGCTATTTCATTACATAATGAAATATCAATGCATGTTATTGCACGAAATTTTTCTCAGTATTCCCTTTACCAAATGCACAAAATCGGTGAAAAATTGAAGAACCAAAACCTTTCGTTTTTCCTGATCAACTCAATTCTGACCACAAATCTTCAATGTAATGAATCAAGATTTGTGTATCGCGACTTTCATCACCAACTTAAAGACTCAGATGGAGACATCATGACTCTCATGCCTAAAAATAACCTCAACGTGTTGTTAGACACTCAGTAACTGGAAACTCTTAAAGTCAATATACTTTATTTGTAATGAACTGGATAATTACCTTTACGCAGTCTTTAGCCTATTTCAATTCTAAATGACCATGATTGTATAACCAGAATTCCTGTCTCATTCCAATATATTAGACTTAAATTATTATGAATCATGACACTTACCTTTTTAGAATTTTGGGAGTGGAATGTAATCATCATTCAAATGTATGATCCAATCATCGGAGGAGAATTTTGGATGCTAAGTATACGGTTATAATATTTGAATTTTGAAAAGAGATATCCCAACAAATCCAATACACCATTGCCCTTCCAAGAATCTTTGTTTTCAGTGCTCTACTTCTAGTATTCTCCCTTATTAATTATTCCTTTGAAAACATCCCTCTTATTTTCTCTGTAAAGTCAGGGCACCTTTACAAAATATACAAAAAGAATCAGGATTCATCACGTCCAACAATACCTCTCCAAGTGGGCGTTTCGCAATTTTATAAGAAGCTCTATAATAATTGAGAAACTCTTTACTTATTTGGTCAATCAAATCATGTTACCATTACAAGTGATTTTCCCCCAGATGTAATGTCGCGTCAAATTGTTTCCAGTTGGTGTAGAAGAGGTATGAAGACCATACCCATTACTTTATTGATGTACATTTTTGTAAATTCTTTTTAATAAATAAATTAAAATCCAAATAATCTTTAAGCGCTTATATTTTCTCCCCCTCCCTCCCAAATAGAAAACATTTATGGTTATTTTAATCAAAAGTGAGTGAACCTTTGTGAGAGACTGGTATGGAATTTCTTGCACTGTTCTTCATTTCCAGCAATGGTATTAATAACTACGCTTGTTTATTTATTGACAAATATTTTGCTTCAATTTTTACGTGAAATCCACACCAACAAAAAAAAAGCTCACATCAAAAATTTTGTTTGATTCCAATGATTGTTCATTTGTATTGATATGATGTAAAATACTACAAAATATCCATGGCACAAGTAAAAAAATGCTTATCTGAGATTGTAACCTTGTAAGTTTCTGCTAATTATAATTTTTCAAAGATAACTAATCAAGAGTTTCTACCAAAGTATTTAATTTCTTTGTAAATTGTTTTCACTCATTCTAAAAAAAAAGACAAAATTGCAAGGAAGCATTTTGATCTGTTTTTCTTGAGGAAAATAAAACAAAATTGAAGATTTTTGAATGATAAGTGGGACAGCATTTGCTGCATTTACTTGATGTGCAATATTTACCTGAACTCAGATACTTTCATGATTAATTAGCGAGAGTGAACAAATCGACAGTGTGAGTCCACGAGCATATATCTCGTTTGCGGCGTCTGGAAATCTCCGCCTTTATGTTATTTTTTCGAAGGAGAACAAATTGACATTATTCCTTGAAGTTTATGCAGACTTTTCTTCGCACAGTGAAGAAATATCATGGCAGTTTTGAAGAATTGCCGTTGAGTAGTTTTCCGTTTAAAAAATAGAGTATGACAGGAAGTCTGCAACGTCGCAAACCAAGTTATGTGATTGCCGATTTACACTGTCAAAATACGAAACTCGCACAAATTTTGCAGTCCATTCTTAAAAAGTGCACGGAAGAGCTTGTAAAAATTCCTTTGAGACAAACTACATATCTCTTAAAAGTTATGAGATCTCACCACAAAATATTCAATCATTATTATTCCTTGGTTGAGTTGATCTAAGCGTTTCTTGGTATTTCCAATTATGGTGAAAGTGGCATTAATGTGAAATTAGTATTTTGTGGGCTAGTTAGGCAAGAAGTTTCTATCATTTAATGCATTTTTTTTTACGGAAAGGAAAATTTGCTGTTGGTTGCACTTGCTTTCAAGTACAACCACCCAAAATTCCAGAATGGCAAAGGTAGCCAGCCAGAGGCCATACGGTGACTATTAGCTGTTGAGTAAAGGAAAGTAGGTGAACCAAAGAAGAAACAAAACGAATAAAAAAATAGGACTGTTTATTATTTTGAAGATATTTAGTTGAGTATTTCTTGGTAAATAATTTAGTATGGGTTTGACAAAACGTCTCCATCAACAGTGAGGAGAATATTCGTGTTGAAGTCAATTACTGATAAAAAAAGAAACAAAAAATCATGTCTTGTTGGGCAACAGGAACCTAGATCTAAAAATGAATAGTTTCTTTTGGTTTTTTTTTTTTGCAGAATTCTTTCGGAATAATTCTCATGTACTTGATTTGAAACAGTCTCTACATCGAGGAACTGTTTACCTACTGAAATGCTGAAACAGTATTACCTTCGGTTCCATTATTTTAATTGTTAGAACATTTACAAACATGTCAGTTGTAAGAAGATAGTTGATTATTTTTACAGGTAAGTGTTGAAGTTGCTCTCACAGAATAAAAAATGCGAATGAGGCACAAAAATCTGTAAAAGTTTCCTTTGTTTTCGGCCACAGGAGTACCCGTTTGCATTGGATGGTTAGTTGATTAGTTCTTCTCACAGTTTTAGCTCTCTAGAGATTTATGATTCTGAGTCAAATGCTAAGATGGAAAGAAAAAAGAAATAAACTGGAGGTGAGCCTATTAGTGGAAGAGAGATGTTTCTGGAATATTTAAGTTTTTGACTGATGAAGATTTGTAGGAAATAGGTTATAACTTTTTAAAGCTTTGAATTAATTCATAATTGGTCCAGAATACCCAGGAGGGTTACTAATGGATTACTAATGGTCAGGTTCATGATAAAATAACTTTAAAGATACAGAGAGTGCAAATCTACACTAGAAATAACTTTCTCAAAAATGTTGGAAAGGTCCAGAAGTTTAACAGAAAGATACAAACGCTTCAGAAATACTTGTTATAACTTTAAGGATTTCAAAGTGAAGGAGCCTATTTCATCAAATACAGTCATCAGGTCAATATATGTGAGACCGGATGAATACTTTCAGTAGATGAATACTTAGATTACGGAAAAATTAACAATGTTAGTTTATTCATTTGAAAATTCAACAAAGCTTGTGCTCAAAAATAGACTCGATATTAAAACAAAGAAGTAAGACTATAAAACAATTTTAGCACCAGAGAACTCTTTGAAGACACCAAGTTTAGGTATTTATAAAATTCTTTTGGAAATGAGAAACAAAAACTGTTGTATATTAAAAATGGTTGCGGGATTCAACTTCCGTTTGCACTGGCTCCCAAACATTAAGGAAATTGACACAGGGAGGAAGTTTTTTGTTGATTTAGACTTACAGCTTTTGCTGATTCCTGTTGTGTGAAGTAAATTCATTATGCTCTTCATAGAGGTCAGATTCAATGATGTTCTTAGGTCAATAGAGTCTACTTCCTGGCAAAGGTATTAGAGCCAACACAGATGAGGACTCAACAATTTCAAATAGCATACCACCTCATGTGATACATTGTTGAGGAGAAGACAAAAGAGACCAGAATCATGGTATGAATTAATGCAATGGGTGAAGTCATCGATTGTGTAGATAGAACTGAACAGAAAAATTATACGTTGGATTAAATTTTGCAATTAGGAACTAGTATTTCTAACTCATTTTAAGCGAAGGACATTTGGTTCCAGTATGTAGTTCTTCCTTGCAGAAGGATGTTTAAATGAACAGAAGTTGGAGATGAAAGTCCCTGTTGCAAAATGTGGTCTAATAGGGTATTGACTCTTTCTACAAACGAATAATCGACTTTTTACCAGTGACTGGGAGGTAGCACAGACTTGAATTGATCTGTGCTTAAAGGCATGTGGCTGACTTCGATTAGATCTGAGCAACCTTTGTCACACAATCACCACTCAGGTTTAAAAAAAAAAAAAAAATTGTACGTACAGAATTTGTGCTTATACTGAGTGGGCAAGAGGGATGGCCAGAACTGAATCTGAGTTTGCCACAAATGAACTTGAACAACTAGGTATTTAGGATGACACTCTTAGAACCTGCTTCTTATGGCACGATGTGTCACTTACAAAGAAAGCATGTTATGAGATGCCGATGGACCACTAGACATGTTACAAATTTATATGTGATAATATGTTTTCTCATTGAAATTTCGGGTAGAAACCGATTTGAGCACCGAAAATTAATTAAAGTGACTCTTATAAACAAGAAATTAATGTTTTTCATGCACAAATTCAAATTTTCTGTATATAAGAAAACCATGATCTTCTTGAGTTAAAAGGCACACTGAACGTTACCGTAACAGTCCTGCAGAATGAAAATATAGCATAACCTCGATCATGAACGATTCAGCTCAGCTGTTGCACATTTCTTTTCACTATTTAAAACATAAGACAAGGAAGGAACACTCCTCTGTTAAGAAACCTGCTTAAATTGTTTTAATGCGCAATTTGACTCATGTAGATACTGGTTTTTCTTATGAGCAGGATATTTAAACTTTCTGTAACATGTGCTGGGTAGAAATGTTAATATATTGATAAGATTTCCATTGCACAAATTGTTTTCCATGTGAAATTTTGTGGAGAAAACATGAGTCAGAAAACGTAAATCTGTACTGTGTCTGGTGGTCCATTTAAATTTATGGAAATTTTTACTTAAATATGGCGTGATTGCGTTTCTCTCTCTTTTTGACAAAACTTGGTGACTCCACCTGCAGCAATCTTGTACAAAGAACATAGGAATCATGCTGTTGACTAGCCATTAGTAGGAGGAAAAAAGTTTTATCTGCTAATAAAAATAAATAGCAATTAATAATATATACATAATCTGAGACTGGCTGAATAAATGAGGGCAGAAAACTAGACTTAGTTTTACCTACTACCAGTCTCAATTTCGGGAGACTATTTACAGCAAGATAGGAACAAAGTAAGAAAATAAAGTATTCACAGCTTCTATGCACAAACATAACTCAGACATAAAAATACACGAAACAGGTGAAACATCCAAATGCAACAATATTTTAAATGCATTTCATGATTTTTGAATACATAAATTCAATTCAGGCTGTGGAGATTGTATTCTTGTCAAAAGGAGCTCCCAAAACTTTGGAGTCAAGAAAGTACGCTTGATTGTCCAGCTTTCACAATTTAATATAGTGCCTCATATCTTTCCCAAAGCTCTCAAAAACAAAGCTTAAGTTTTGTAGGTTCAGTTCATTGACAGATTTGGACAATCTGCATTCTTGGTCCATCAACAGATGTGCGCAATTATACTCGAGCTCACCTTTTGGAGAATAAAAATTAGCCTCTATAAACTGAAAATAGAGCTATTTTGATAAACCCAAAATAAACTTTAATTTTTCTTTTACAAACTATGGCTTTCTATCAATAAAATGGATAAAAATTACAACCTGCAATCAGGCAGAAACCGTTGTGCTGAGCTGACTTGCGGATGATAAATTGTACGGAGTATATCAGAGAAATATAAAAAGAAAAAATGTGTCAAGGTAACTAAACAAAAAGAGGAAAAGAGACTTCTAATGTATTTACTTACAAACCTAACAAGAAGTTAAAGCACTTAAAAAGAGGTAAACAGTAGGTACTATATGGAGTCTAGAAAAACAGTGTAAAGGTGTGTAGTGCTTTTTCTTTTTTTTTATGCGCTGGTTTCATTACACATAAATCTATCGAGCATCTGTAAAATAGGAAATCAAACAAAATGCATCAAGCAGATTTACATGAGGTAGGTACATATTTTTACTGTGCGTGCAGCATCAATGATGTACTTTCATGAAAAAAACAAATAGTGAGGTTAAAAATTGGATTCACTACCTTAACGGATTAGCGATCAATCCATTTCTTCCTCTCAGTATGTGATGATCAAATTTTTCTTTCAAAACTTTTATTTTATTTAGATTTTCGGTTTGCAGAAAATAGCGGGACATTTTATTTTTCTGCAGAGCAAGGGGTAGAAATTTTTGAAAAATGTAAAATACATTGCTATGCGGTGGTTGGAAACGAAAATCTTATAAAAATACCTGTACAAGCTCTAAAAAGAAAAAATATCTTGAGGCAAAAACAGATGAAGTTGCACTTTTGATTGCCGGAAAATAGCAGACGCGTTTGGGGCTGCAGGTGAGATGGTTGAGCCACACAGAGGATGGGCTGCTATCAAAAACATGTCTGCCACTTTTTATCATGGGCGTGCAAGTGGGTTTCTTATATTAGTTTAAATTTTCTCACTTTGGCTTCAGCTGAATGAATATAATATTGTCTTTATCCAACAAAAATTTCAACTGAGATTCATTTTCTCTCTTTATCCCTGAAAAAAGTTCCCCAGCATATGTATAGAGAGAGGATCTTGAACTATGACATTGTTGACTTAAGATTAAGTTCACGGTCCACTGATTATCTGGTCAACATATTCATCCATGCAATTATTTTCAGGTTGTAAGTGATAATAACTTAAAAAAAAGGAACAAAGGAGAAAGAGAAGGTACTTAAATTTTGACAATAGGTATCGAATTGAAATGAGTGCACTGGCTGTATTCTGACTGCTTATCTTTGCTCTTGATAAACAAAAAAGAGTCAATAGTTCGTCCTATTGCTTTTCACATACATATTTCTAATACTTGAGTTAAAGCTGTTCACGAAGAGCAATTAGTGTCCGATTTCAATTACTAATACTACTACCTACAATAATCATGTTGAACACTTCAAAACTCATAACATGTTGTATTATTTTTAAATGATATGTGAGGTACATAGATTAAAATTCAGTAATAAAATTAAAGCGTGATTATTACTTGTATGAGAGAAAAACGATCATTGTCCTATTTAGATGATGATGGAAGGAATTGTCTCTGGGACAAAACTAAAATTCTGCCCTACAAGTCAAAATTTTTGCTAATATGTATACTTATAATTGGCAAGGCCCATAGTTACAGTCAAATGATAACTTCCGAGGGTAGGAAAAGTGAAAATGAATTTTAATCCAACCGGTCGGTTGCAATAGTCACAAAATCATGCTTTGATTTTTTAACTATAGATGAGTGATTACATTTGTCCAAATACCAAGTCTCCTTGTTCAATATTAACAGAAATACTGCCTTAAAAAGAATATGGCGTAAGACATCATTCGCAGGAGAGGCGCATACCATAGTTTCTTCCACCTTGGTTTCACCCGCATTTTAGGTCAAGCAGCAGATGTGAGTGGCACTAATTAAGTAGTATGTATTATATGTACATGGTATGTACTAACGCAAAGGGTGACAGCAAACACTGTGTTTTTTGAGGGGTGATATATCCATTAGAACCTCCGTAAAAGCTAGGCTTTTCGACGTATCCTATTATTTTTTGTTGATCTAAAGGCTTAAATAATCAAAACGCAATTCTATGAATAGCGGAACTGACTCATTTAAACGCTTTGGCTCCAGAAAAGAGTGCCTGTAAGGAAGACTCATCAAAATGAGGTAGCGACGCACGAATTTATATGAGAAAGTTCAAATGTCATCAATGGAACTGGTGGATTAACTATAAGATAGATACATTTCCTTGTGCATGGCTAATTACAAGAAAATTTCATTAAGAATTTACAGAATTAGGATTTCTAGACTTTTTAATAATGCAAAAATCAGATTGAAATCAAGAGGAAAATTGTGTCCGATTAAGATACAGGTATTTAAAAAGTAATGCTCTTAATTTTTAGAAAACATTCGTGGACAATTCGTTGGCCTTGTTCACACAAGCGCAGTATGGCCAAATCAGAGCCACAAACTGGGGTTTCGATGAGTAAAGTTATAGCTGAGATATAGTAAGTTGGCCCGTAGTTCCGCAAACTGTATTCGTGTGGACAAGGCCTTATGGTCAGTGTAAGATGTGCCCATTGGTACCCAACTTTTCTGTTAACTGACGAGATAAACCTTTCTGAAACAACTGCATGTAAAATACAGTAAACCACTAGGAGAGCTGTACAGTTAAAGAATTTTCGGAATTTTAGGTCAAAACTCGATTAAGATTAATAAAGTATTCACGGATAGGATTAAGGTATGATTAGTCATGCAGAAAATTAAGAGTATGAGTCAACTTCACAAAATTCACGTTAAGGAGTCTCCGTCGGCCTGCAGATAACTGTTACTTTTTCATTTGACGTACTGAGAACTTCTGCTGGCAGAAGTACCCACAAAATCTTCATCATCATCATTGAAACTTGGCAAATACACAACTGTTTATTGTTTCGGAGAGATACAGAGAGGGGTTTTTTTTAAGAGGTTTATTACCTAATTTAAAAAAAATTGGGCACTAATCAGTCACATCTCATTAACGCAATAGACCTTACTATCAATTTTCTGAGGCTACTTTCACAGAATTCTCAACATGTTTAGTGCAATTTTTTACTGCCAGAGGCGAGCAATGCACGGATGTAGAAACGATGCAACTTCAAATGAACGAGGCGGGAATTTAAAAATTCAAAATCAAGTCAAAAGGCATATTAATTGCAAAAAAATTTTCAATTCCATCACAATTAAGTTTTACAAATTGCACAGCTCTAGGTGAAATTCTTTTATTTTCTTCTCTCTTGACCCCTATAGTTCCATCATACTTATTTGGCTTCTCTCGCACTACTATGCTGTCCCTTCCTACAACAAATCTCTTGGTATGATCAATGTCAGAAAATTTTAAATTCCGCACTCTACACTCTGATTGAGAGTTATCATAACACTTACAAATGGCTTCAAAATACAAAGATGTAACTGCTCTGCGGCGGTATTTGACTAGATTTACTCAACGCGCTTACGTCTCTGACAGGGTGCAATGATAAGTACAAACACATAAATTTGAAGAGAGATAATTTATGAGGTCACATCCTTGACAGCTTGCTGAATCCGGATGACATGGCCAACTTTAGTGATGCCCATTTTCTTGAGATCTATTTCTGAGAGAACAAGGAGTTCTTTCCCTCTGATATCATGACACTGGAAAATTTCCATGTATTCACTGAGCTGAATCGATTCCAGCCATGCACATACTTCATTCACGCTCCATGAGCTGGGGTCACGAATGGCATAATTGGATGCTTTTGAAGAACTGCTACGGCGGAACAACAGCCGGAAACGTCCTTTCCGGGTCTTATTTGCTTTCTAAACATGAAAAAAAAAAGGAAGAAAAAATAAAAAAAGGGTCAAAGTAGGTACTTAAGAATGAAATTGCAATTTAAAATTGAAGAAACATTACCTCTCAAGTACAAGGTTAACCCAACCTGCGATGGTTGCCTAAAAGGTAACAGCAATGTTTCTGTAACGCTTTGTAACATTTTTGCAATAGATCTGCAACGACTACCAGGCGGGTACAAAAAAATGAAAACCACACGTGTCTGAAGAATTGTCCTGTCCTTGGACCTCGCTCCATTAGGATGATGAAAGTGTCTGAATTCAGGTTTGTTACACCAGATGTACTTGGTTCATATTTAAACATTTTCTATACTTCTTCCATTTCATAATTGAAGCGCTTATTTCGAAAGGGAGCAGAGTCAGATTTTTTCCAAACTTGTTTTTTGAAGGAGAAGTAATCTTTTTCTGCCTCCAGTGTAGTTTCTCTTGTCTCCTGAATATTTTTTTTCCTTTTTAGAGCTAGCACTTCAATGAAATAAGTGCTTCAATTTTAATGTGCTCACTGAGAACCGGTGCTTGGAAAACGAGGTATTTAAATAGATCTAATTAGTGGCTCGATCCATAGACAAAGTACTATATGACTTTGGAGAAACCAATGCAAACGCCAACTTACCGTTTCTTCTGGAGAGAGAGGTGTCAGATATACTAGTTCTTGCTGATCAAGTGGTGAGCAAACGATATGACATTTCTTCAAATCTAGCTCGACATTTATCAGGACAGAGGTTAGTTGACTCTCGAGCTCAGGCTGAATACGCTGGAGAAGAAAAAAGGAGAAATAACTTTAAACACCACTCAGGAGCTACATGATTTGATGATGCGAGTACCTTAGCTATAATTTGTGTGTTAAATACAACAGTAAATGTCTTTATTGATAGCTACATTTTTGTTTACATCTAATGGTGAAGAATAAGACTCAATTGACAACTTTTTTAAACTTGCATATTGGTTCAAAAGCTGTTGTTCTATTGGTTGTCTCCCAAATGAAAAAAGGAGAGATTTACAGGACAGTCCTCCTTTTTCAAAGGAACTACTGAATTTTAGGCACTCTATCTTACTTTGAAAATAGTAGCTCTTCAGACCTTGCATAAATCAAGAACTTTTTGTTAGAAGCATGTATAAGTCTACGATCATACGATTTCGCAAATCATTTGCAGCAGAAACAACATAGAGTGAGAAGAAAATTTCTGAGAGAAAATTTGTGCTCTGATGGGCTTCCTCTATAATAGAATGTCAGTCATGTTATTAGCGAATTGGAACAAAAGCTTACCAAGTTATGAAACTTGTCGTGGAGAGTATGGATTTCATCATAAAGCTGTTTGGTGGTGAAAAATAATTTGGTAAAAGCGATGCGAAGAGCTACACCTTCTAGTATTCGCCCTCCTGGATGAACATTTTCAACATCAACGCCAGCATTAAACGCTAGATCGTACAGCTCATTTTTCAAAGAGGGGTTGTTGATTGTAATCAATTTGATGCACCTGAAAAATGAAACATGAACTATGAATAGAGACCTTTAATACTGAGTGAACACTTATGGATAGTTACATAAAAGTTCTTGGCAACTTTCTTCCATTCTAATACTGTAACGATTTACTGTGTTGGAGCTTTTGGGGCACACCTTCAACACTCATCTAATGCCGATTAATTATTTCTGAAGAAAAACTTATCTAATCTAAAATTAGCTAAGCACCTTAGTCTTTTAAAATATGTAACACAATTTTTTTCAATGGGTATTTTTTTCTTCATTCAAAAGTTTTACTTATCATCGGATTGATGAGGGCAGATGGCCACGAATAGTGTCTGAGTGTCAGACTGATCAGATCTCCTGTATTTTTTTGAGCAATATTTTAAGTTTCATTCTGCCACTAGCTTGTAACCATTTCATGGCTTTTGGAAAGAATGAAACTTGGAAATATATTCAAATACTTACTTGACTAAACTTGCTGCTGAATCGATAAAACCAAGTAATAACTGCAATTCCTCTTCTGTGAATGCATTTAGTTTGGCAGGAGGCATGGTAGTAGAGGTGGCTCGACTGCGCATTCGATGAAGGTGCCGTAATGTATCTTCCCAAGTTTTGAGAGTTCGCTCTAGAGACTAAAAAGGTAGAAAAAAAAGAAAAAAATATTTTGAGGATAAAATCCAACATGGTGAGGCACGACATTACCAGTAGAAAATAGACCTACATGAAGTATTGTTGACGGTTTTAAATTTTTTTTCTTTACTTTTGATTGGTAAAAACTGGTTAGCAAACATTTTTGCGATGAACTGTGAGGGAAAAAAAAATTATTAAGTCTTGGTTTTAGGACCGAATTTGGCAAAATGGTGCAAAATTCTTCGAGTTAAGTTTTTTTGTCTTTCTTTCTAAAATCCAAGTCAAGGACTATTTTGTGATCTCAAGTTGGTTTCCTTATTTCTTATAGCCCAACGTAATTTTTAAAGCAGACAGCAGGACCATTACAATGGTTATATTAATTGAAATTCCATGTTAGGAATCTCCGTCTGAAAGAGATTGACAATGCAACTTGACTGGCCGTGACATCTTCAATCAAGAGATAGTCGCTGCGTAAGAATAGGATACTGGAGCATGTTCAAGTGCATTCAAGGGACTCTCAGCTGGTTTCAGTTGAAATTTCATATCAATAGAGAGCTGAAGAACAATGGATGAAAACTTACTTTATTCCGACAGAGCATCATGATTCGATTTTTGTGTATGATGCGAATCATTCCGGGAGGTTGAACCCATGCCTCACCATCAACTTGTATCGGTACTCCTTCATCTCCTGAGATGATAATCTGAACAGATCGGCACTGAGCGATTCGGTGATGCTGGAGGTTGATCAATCTTGAGGCCGCCATTTGAACGCTCCCAAATACAGCAACCACTTCCAAGATTTCGTCATCAACGGCAGGAGCTATGAAAACTTCATCCTCTTTAGTGCCGCCCCAGAAGTTGGTGCCACCCATGAAGCTGATGCAGAAATAAGATTTTGATCATTTTGTAATCATGTAAAATAACCCTACTGTTAAGATTAAACAGAAAGTTCGAGCTTGAGCTGGTGCCTGAGAGAACCCTTCACAAAATTTTACAATTCATGTATTCCTGGACCACAGTTGTTAGCAAAAACTTATTATAAACTCTTTTTATACACTTATTATGCTACACATGATCACTAAATCATATTCCAAAACAGTAGACTCTTCGAGTGGATTAGTGATTCCTGTAATTCTAGGGTCTCACCTCCAAAATATCTTGTGTAACAGCCCAGTCTTCCAATTTATATGGAAACCACGTAAGGTAATAAAAATCGTTGCCACAAAGTGTCCGGAAAGGGACATATCTGTCCCATCCCCCAAAAATCCTAGCCTGCTAGTCTTGACAGAGAATGTGGGACTACAATTAATGGATGCCTTGAAGCAGACAAGAATCTACGAGGGGCGTTCAATAAGTAAGTATCCCCCCTCTCTAAAATCAATAAGAATGGACCAATTTTAAAAAAACTTGGGCTCAAAATCTTTCTTAGGATATTTTGAGTTCAACAAAACAAACCGCAACAAAATCGGACCATGTGCGGCCGAACGCGAGCCGTTTGAACGCGCCGAGGTGCTCGACGCTCCCGCCGAATCCGCGGGGATTTGAAGTCCGCGACAGGAGAAGAGCTTCTCTGCCAAAGCCTCAATCGTTCATCACTGACGAAAAATCAATGAAATTTTTGTAGAATAAGGGGCTTACCTCACTTCTCCACATAACCAGCTCGATCCAAGCAGGTCTGATACTGAGACTATGAGAACAGCTTTTGGATGCCACGCGCGTAGAAGTCTTTCAGCTGACCGGGGATGAAAGAGTGGACGGCTTGTTTGACCTCTTCCACTGATTCAAAATTAACTCCTCCGAGTTCAGATTTCAGATACGATAATAAATGGTGGTCAAATTTGCCATTTATTATCGTATCTGAAGTCTGAACTCGGAGGAGTTAATTTTGAATCAGTGGAAGAGGTCAAACAAGCCGTCCACTCTTTCATCCCCGGTCAGCTGAAAGACTTCTACGCACGTGGCATCCAAAAGCTGTTCTCATAGTCTCAGTATCAGACCTGCTTGGATCGAGCTGGTTATGTGGAGAGGTGAGGTAAGCCCCTTATTCTACAAAAATTTCATTGATTTTTCGTCAGTGATGAACGATTGAGGCTTTGGCAGAGAAGCTCTTCTCCTGTCGCGGACTTCAAATCCCCGCGCATTCGGCGGGAGCGTCGAGCACCTCGGCGCGTTCAAACGGCTCGCGTTCGGCCGCACATGGTCCGATTTTGTTGCGGTTTGTTTTGTTGAACTCAAAATATCCTAAGGAAGATTTTGAGCCCAAGTTTTTTTAAAATTGGTCCATTCTTATTGATTTTAGAGAGGGGGGGATACTTACTTCTTGAACGCTCCTCGTATTTATGTAAGAACATTTAAAAACAAAGGATGACCGATTGGGTTGCTGAGGTGCCTACCTGTATTTTAAATGAATTGCACTTGAAAGAATTGCACAAAGGTCATTTTGAAAAAAAAAAAAAAAAAAAAAAACCTACCGGCCAAAGCACTCACCAGGGTTGCAAGCAGTTCTTTTACTTCACAATTTTTCAGAGCGAGCAAGAATTTGGCAAAAGATCAATATACAGTGCTAATTGAAATTTTGTCATATTTTTTGCCCCCCAAAAAATAAAGACTTACATGTTGAGAACTATTTGCATTTTTGGCACTTTCTAGGATTAGTCTTTGTTTTTTAGAATTCCATTTGCAGATCCTGTTTGCTCCGTGACACCCAAATAACTGAGCTTCAGGGCAAAACAGAGGAATTGACCCCTAGAGGGATCATATTAATTTATTTTGACTGAGTTTCTAGTCGTATACGGATTCTTAGTTTTTGAGTCCGCCTTGCAGCTCTTGTAGTTTTAAGAACTTCTTTAGGTATGAACATTAGTGGATGATAGATACCTGGGTATATTAAGAATAACAATGCCTTGAAGGTGAGGGAGAGGGATTCGATATCCATCACATTCTAGTTGAACTCGCTGCTCTAGGTTTTTGTACGTTTTCTGCAGCCACTGCTTGCTTCCTGTAATAAAAAAAACACAAGGTAGAAAAAGTCCTACGATGAACACGGAAGAAAGGCTGCCAAAAAAGATGCTTCATTGTGTTTCTCCTGGAAAGAAATGATTGGATAAAGATAAGTGAGAGTCATATCTGCTTTGAGATTCAAAATCTAATTCCTCATCTACATACTCATTTTCATTTTTTGAAAGGAAGCCAACCAACATACCCACTTGAAAATAGTTGAAATTTTTCTGGCCAAAATCAAGTGATTCCATAAATTAAAAGAAAGAAAGAAAGAAAAAAAACACTAAGAACTGTATGTAACAAGGTGGAGAAATGGTGGAGAATTTTTTTTTTTTTTTTTTGAAAATACTTTGTCTCGTGGACTAGGGTCTCTTTTCCAGCAAACAGATCACAAATAATAAAAAATTAAAATTAAAATATAGGAGCCGATGAGACTTATAACACACACATACCTAAAACTCCATACCACATGTAGTTCCTTGCTCTTGATTTACACTTTTCTGGGTGTTCTTCTCTTTTGTTATGAAAGTCAAGTGATATCTGGGCATCAATGCCAATCCCAAAATAATTATTCATGACAACTCGTTCGCGGTAACCTTCCATTATCGATTCGTCTGGATCCATGAGAGGCACGGCTGGGGCACACAAAGCATCAGCGTTTGCAAGTAAGACATTGCTTATTAAACTGGTGCCGCTCACATTGGGCCACATTGAAAGTCGAACGAGAGGATTGATGATAGGTAGTGCTTTGATTTTGCGGCTTCGCTTTTCACTGCTGGCAGTTTGAGACTCCATTGATTCTGGATGAAGGAGACTGATGTTTGAGATTCTTCTTGCGGGACACGAGGCGTGGAGGAGAGTAAGAGGTGATGCAGCGGAGAGACGTCGGCAGCTGTCATAACTGTACCTTCGAAACTCAGGGAGAATATTGTTCCTGGAGTTTCTCCGGCTATCCAGTGAAGGAGACGGTGGGTTAATGACAACTGTTGGACCGATGATAGATGCTGCGTTTGGTGGACCAGTCTCACTCCTGGTTAAATTATTTTTAGATGGGACCTCAGCTGCCATATCAGAGGAAGAGCTATGTCTATTCGTGTCCAAGCTCAAGCTTTCATTGATTCTATCACAGCTTGATCCATTTGTTAAATTTCCATTTGAATTTGGAATGGCATCTTTAACGGTGATGAAACGATGCTTGGGAGTTTTTGACTCAATGCTTGAATCTGAGCCTGCGGTTATTTGGTGATCAACTTTCAAAAAGTGAAGTTGATTTTGCAAGAAATCTGGTTTGTCTGATTTACTACCAACGGACAAATTGTCTGTGGATGTTTTGTTGCTTGAAAGATTTTGACTGCCCATAATGTAATCAAATCTTTTTTCTAATTTATCAAACAATTCAATTGGCAAGTCTAATGAATTCAACAGCTTTAAATCAATCTCATTTATGATATTAACCAAGTTTCTATCGATGTCCTCTTTGTGAAATTGGCACTGTTTTTCCGACTCTATTGCTTCATCAATTATTGCTGCTTTTTCCAGATTATCACCTTTGGCTGAATCTAATTTTGCTGTTCTGTTATATCGCTCGTGTTTGCATTTGATTGATTTTTTACCAATGTCATGACCTTCAATGAAGTGAGCTATGCTGCATCGCTTTTGTTTAAGGAGGGTTGCATCCAATTCATCAGTATCCGCAGGATTGTCTATCGAGTCTGTTTCTAATCTTTTCGTAATTGACAGCCGATTAATTTCCTTTCGAGACTCTTTAAAACTGCAATCAGCAAACTTTCTCCCGTTTTCAGTGGTGTCCACTTCAGTGCTTTTTGCAGAGAAGGTAGCGGATAATACTGTCTCAGGATTATCGTCAGAAGTTTCTGATGAATCAATGTGATTCAGCTTTGATAGCATTTCTTCTGACAGAGCGGACGGCACTCTATCAAACTTTATAGAATCATCATCATCAAATTCATCCTCATTGTCATGGTAGTCCAAGGATTTGCTGCGCCCTTTCACAGACGGAACGCTACTAAGACACTCTAAATTGTTATCACAAGATGCTGATAGGTTTTTTTCCTGTTTAAGACACGAGGCAGGTGAATTATGGTCTTTATTAACGTCTAATGATTTGTCTCTGTTTTCAGTGGTCCTATAATTAATCTCATCCTTCAACAGTTTTGGATTGATTTGATATGTAAATTCATTATTTTGTAATGATTTGCGACCTTTGGCTCTGGTTGAATTCATTCTGGAAAAATTGGATTTTTCTGGACTCGAGTTAGCAGTGTGCACCATGTTTGTGTGGTTCAATTCTTCCTCTGATTTAGTGTTCGGTTCTATTAATTTACGTACAGCACGTTTTAAACTGTTTGTTCTTTGAAGTATTTGGTCTTGTGGAGGCTGAAAAAAAAGAGAAAAAAATTACAACTCTAGGAAGAATATATAAAGTAAATATACATTTGAATGATACAGCATTAAACAAAATATTGTTCTAAGCTTCCTGTATTGAAAGTAGAAGAAGAAATCTACAGAAACCCTCTGAAAACTACCATGCTACGCCTCTGCAGCTCATGGTCAAAAAATAGTAATATAATCTCAGTTATTTTGAGAGGAATGAGAAATTGGGGATTGTCACTGACATAAAATCATCTCTAAAGTCCGAAACATCGATTAGATTACACCTTTAGATGATAGCCATTTATTTCGTTTTGAATGATTAAAGTACCTTTCAATATGACTATATGAAAGAGTTCCTCTGACAAAGAAAATTAAAAGAACAGGAATTGCATATCTATTATCAGGAGTGGATAATTTGACAAAAAAAGACATTTTTTGAGGAATGGTTGCTTTGATTCAACTTCTGAAGGAAGATTTATTCAACAGATATTTTACCTTATTATTATAATCCTTGGAATCATTACTTGAAATGAAAGGTTTCTCAGATTGATTGACATCTAAGTGCTCATTGCTTTTCTAAAAAGAAAGGAATAAGAAGTAGCCTTATTAGAACCATGAGCAAACTAACGGAAAAGGAAGCAACAATTTTGAAAAGTTGACTGAGGACTGGTCTCAAGTTCAACCAGACTAGCCCAACCAGTTTAGAAAAGATTGTTTCAAGTTCTCACCGTTCATCAAAGGATCATTCTCGAGTCAAAAATCGTTTTCTCACAAAATCAGAGAATAGTCTTTCAGCTAATGCTAAAATAGGAGATGACCCTTACAGTTAATGACTTTAAAATTACAATGAGCGAAGCAAAAAATTCTGAAAGACACAGTGCCTTGCATCTTACTATCAGTGCAAGAAATTCGTGTATTGTTGAGTTTTTTTTTTCTTTCTTTTTTCTGAACAATATTTTACTTACAAATTTTATTATTTGACTCCTTGGAAATTACATACATTAAAAAAGTTATTGGGACATTGTGGATTACCTTGTCGATGGAAGAGTCGTTTGGCACTTGCTCTTCATGTAAAATATCTAACAGTATATCTAGTTTACGTTTTAGGATATGACATTTCTCGCTCAAGTCGTCATCATTTTGTACTAAGCTTGATTCAGTTATACGCAAAGTGAAATCTTTCACAGCTTCACACAAAGCGCTGAAAAACAGAAATATAGGATACATTATGACACGCCTGAATTTAAATAAACTCAGGTAATGAAAAGCTTCAAAAATTCACTTCTTGCCCTTAGTCTAACTTTACTGGAATTATGCACAAAAATCAGGCTTTGGCACTCGGAAGTTAAGGCAAAATAGTTTGTTTCATGACTAAAATCTAAATGGTTCTTAGGAACTTATAGATCGTGCCTAAAAATAGGCTTCCCTGCCACATGTCTCCCGATACTTTTTGGATGAAGTAAGAAATGTAGGCTACCTCCAGCTTTGAAAAGAGTAAATTTTCGGAATTAATGAGGCAAAAACAATCAATATTTCATCTATAAATTTTTTAATTGCCTGGATGATGGGGTACCTGCCCAAAACGCCTCTGGAGTGAAATCCAAAAAAGTCATCCCATGAGAGTTCTTTAGCATTTTTAGCCTTTATTAAATTTTAAGGTAAGCTTATAAAATAAATGATAGAACCTGGCAAGGCACGAGGCATAAGGGTTTTCAATTAATTATCTTTCACTATGCATCTTTAAGATGACAAGAAATTGTGAAATTTAACTTGTTCCTTTTCGACAATGCTCTTCCTACCAGGAGAGAGGAAAAAATTATAAAAATTCTGAAATATCTAGTATCGATAGAAAATTGGCGTGCAAGGGAAAATTGATTTGAAAATGCAAATAAAACAAAATAATATAAAACTGACCTAGCAGCCTTAATGACTGTGACTGGATTGTCTGAGAATAGAATTTTTGCAAGGTGTGTGGAGATCGTCTGCTCGTACTCAGCAATTACAGCAATATTGTTATCTTCTTGATTTGGTGTTTTCGCAGAGGCTGAGGTTGATTTATCACCGGTAGAGACTGTTATGCCCCTTTCAAATGTCATCACACTCCACCTATGAAACAAGTGTCACATGGTAAGTGAAATTTAAGATAGTGCCTTTGGTGGAATTCCGTAAATCAATTACATGCCTAGATTTGTAAAGAGAAAACTGTAAGAATTTTAGGAGGGGAAGTATGAAAGGTCTGTTCAAACATGTATAAATAACAGAGGGGAAACTGAATTTTCGAAATAATAAGGGGGGGGGGATAGTTCCTTCACCTGCAAAATACAGGAACTATTTGTATGAGTCGATGTATGATCCATGGATTTGGGTTTCATTTGACTCCAGAAGTTTTATTGACAGGGAATGGTACGGATCTAGACTTGAAAGTTAACATCATAACACAATTACAAGACATTTTCTTTTGAATATATTTTCAATTCCCAATATTTTTCTCTGGAGAAGCAGCTTTTTTTAAGGGGCGATGTAAATAATTTTCAGAACAGGAACAAAAAGAAAGGATAAAGAAAATGAAAAAAATAAGAAAAATACCTGTCCAAAACTTTAGTTCCTGCACGTTCATATCTTTCGACTAAATTCTGAAGATTAGCCTCGTCGTCGCAGGATGAGCCCCATCCTAACACTCTTGCTAGATCATTGCCAGTTCCAAGAGGCAACACACCAACTTGACACTGATTCTGTAATACAAAAATAGTAATGATACAATGAGATAAAATCTTCCGGTCTGATAAGTACTCTGAGAAAAAGTGATAGGGTTTTAGATGAGATTTTCAAGAATTTTTTTTTTTTCTTTCTTTCTTTAAAGATCTGTTTCTAGATATAAAAGGAAAAATTCTCCACCATTGGGTTACTGAGTGGCAGCATTTTACCAATGCTAAATGCCCCCCTGCATTGCCTACTTCACCTTCATCCGAAAACTTTCATTTGACTCGACTTCAACAAGTAGTCCAAACTAGACTGAGAATTGGTCACACAAATTTTTCCCATAGCTATTTGATGACCCAATCAAACCGTCCTGCTTGCACTTCTTGTCCAAATTCCCCCTTAACGGTAGATCACGTTCTTATAAGTTGCCCACTTTATAAAGATATCCGAAAACGTTTTTTTCCCTACCCCTTACCCTCTCTTAAAAATTTACTTCTGAATACTCATCCTGTGAAACTTTTTGAATTTATGCGCTCCACTAATCTCAAAATTTAACCTTTCCCCTCAACCCTTTTGTATTTTTACTGATATTTCCATGTAAATTTATTACTGTTACTGCCCTTTTTAGAGGTGTAAATGGCCTTAGATGCTAAAGCACCGCTTTAAAATAAAATTATGTTACTACTACTACTTTCTTTCTGATTTTAAATATCCATTCTATATCAAAAAATTTCCTGACTTTTCCTGGCCTGATGAACTTCCCAGACAATGTCTGGTTTTCCAAACCTGTACACACTGTAAAGGCAGGATTGGCAGTTTTATGCTGTCATACGGCATAGTATAAAAAATAAATTTTAGTGCCTATTTTTTTAAAATGAATACATATTTAATCTCAAATTTGAATTGTATGCGAGATACAATAGGCAAATACTTAATTGAACTCAAAGTTTTAGTAATGTGAATTGCTTCTTTTCTGCTTGACTTGGTCCGTTTGATGAGCAATGTTAGCTAAAAATAGTCTCTGGGATGAGAATATATAATATGAATGGCATAGTGCACTCTGCTATTTCTGGTTGAAGTTTTAAGAAGAAAGTAAATAACATATAAAAATGCAGATATTATACTTTTTTTTTCAATTAAAAAGGTGGAAGGATGTATGATAATGGCTTCTGTGCATGTTCTTTACTTCACACTTAAAGCTTCCAAGAATGAGACCATATACAGACCTTGAAGTGGCCTTCTTCGACATGGATATCGAGAGCAAATAGTGAAAATAATCATAATTTTTCTCCGTTTTTCTGTCATATAATAAATCTAGATATTTTGTGCTCTGTTGTGAACAAAAACTGACAGAATGTAAAAAAAATCCATGCAGCAAATATCTTACATGTAATCCCAGCTTGTCAATTTCAGAGAGGACCCAGCCTACCGAGCCATCACCACTGCAGATGAGTATTCGAAATGGATCGAAGCGACGAAATAAACGCAAACTGTAGCAAAAATAGGAATGGTAAAAAAAAATGAATGCTTGGACAAGAGTAAGCAAGAGAGAAGGAAAAGATGCATTGCTAGACCACCAAGAAAGGTGAAGGGGAAATGTATACATTTTAGTTATTTAGTTTGTATTTTTCATCATTAAAATATCATGCAGAAAACAATGAATATATGGTAAGTATTTCCAAATTCGACCCGCAAGAGAAAGACTAGCATCAAAAATATATGAGACACGTTCAATAAATAAGTATTTATTTATCTAATTTATTCTTTGGTACATATTGGCAAATAAATCAGCCATAGTACTGCCGTGTTAAGGAAAAACGCCGTATGAACACTAGAGTTGCCAAATCTCCTTAGATAAACTGTTTATTTTTAAGGAGAGTAATGAATATTTTTTTTGATATTTTCATAAACTTTAAGTGAAATTTCCAACAAAATTATTTGAAAAATTGAGAGAAAAATATTCCCAACTTTCCCAGAAAATTCTTATTTTATCTAAGGAAATTTGGCAACGCCTGAATGTTCATACAGCGTTCTTCCTTAGCACGGCAGAGCACAAGTCAATCATTACTTAATATTACTATTAAACTACAGGATACAGAGGTATTTAAGTATCCTATCTCTCTAAAATCTATATAAATGGACCAATTTTAAACAATTTAGGCTTAAAATTGACCTTAAGATGTACCGAGTTCAGAACAGTGAGTATCAAAATAATCTGACACAATTGGCTGCGGACGGGTCTATAATGTGCGCGGCAGCATGTGACGTTTTTGCTAAGAATCTATCGCAGCTTGATGATTTGTTCTCACCGTTTCTGGGGGGCAACCTGGATTTACCCCACTGTGTCTTTGTTGAGTTATGGGGTTAAACAACAAATCTACATTCCCTTGTTACAGAGCTTAATAAATGTGGTTATAGAGATACAAATTAAAAAGATAATTACCCTAAGTTAGGTCCGCCGGTTATGAGATCAAAAACTTGAGCAGGGTTGAGAAGCTGTTTGAACCTTCGCAGAAATTTTACTCCATGATTATCACCAGATTTTGAATTCACAAAAACCAAAAGAGGAGAAAATTCTCGAGGTCGAATAGTTTCCCAAGAATCATCAATACCTATGATCAAATATGATAGTATATATTAGACACAAAATAATTGGAAATTCACTTCCCAGATAAGAGATTTTTTGTATCCTTATTTTTTTGTTTTGGCGTATTTTGTTGATTATCATCACCAACCAACCAAAAAGTGATAATACTGACTTTTGTGGCATTTTTAGAGATTGAGAATATTTTCTGCAAATTTTCTTCATAAATTAATTTGATATACGCTTATTTCACATGTTCTTTTGGGATAAAAGGAAACTGTTCATGCAAGGTATTAAAACACCTATAAGATATGTATTAAAGATTTAGGGGCTGAACGAAATTCTGAACAGTCTGCATAAAAGATCCAAAATGTTTGCTTACATGTGGAGGAAAAATTGATTCTCTCATTATCTAGTTCTGATCATTCAAAGATTTATTTGTCATACTTTCAACTAACGTCAACATATAAAGGCCACGGCCCGATTAAGGAATCTGGCGCTGCAGGCTCATTTTCTTTTTTCTCCATTCATATTCTCAATCAAATTCAAAATTTGGCGCCCCCAAGAAGCTTGCGTCGTAGGCTTCAGCCTGGCCAGCCTGTGCGGTAAGATAAAGGCAGTGAATGATTTCAATCACTTTCAACATTTCACATACAAAATCGAGTGGCAGCAGCATTTTGGAAATTAAACTTACTTCATCAGGTCACGTTTCATTTTGTGCCCTTTGCACAGGTATATACTGAAGAAAAGACATCCTCTGCGATCAACAGTACTTACCTACACTATGAATTGCAGTTGGTGGTACAACACTAATTTTACAAGGGCCCATCATGCATACATCTTTATATCCTGGACGACACTGATCATGAACAGTTAATTTGCACCACAAACATCTCCAGTCTTGTAATCTGGCACAAAAAAAAAATCAAACATCAAAATTATCACCGAGCACACAGAATAGGATAAATATTACCTTCTGTCTTTTTCCAGACATAGGGGCAAATCTTTCCAACGAAGCAAACCCCTCTACTAACAATTGGACTGCATTTTGCAATTTGGAACTATAAATTCTGGCCCGGTTTAAAAACAACGCATGTGCCGTTAGTTTTCCTATGCACAAAAGTGTTTTCAGATAAGCCAGAATGTATGGTTCTAAGTTTCAAAATGCAGTCCAATTAGCACTTTCACTTAGGAACTGTTAGGCCTGATTGAAAATTATTTTGATTTGGCTATAAATTGCTGGCAAAAATCGGTAACTACGCACTCATCGTTGCAAAAAAAGGAGAGAGATTTGTTTCAGTGCATTCAGCAGCCTAGGAGTAGACTTGAATGTTCTTTTGTCTGGGAAACGACAATTTGTAAAGCCTGTCATTATTGTGCTAAATGAAAGCTGATTGTGATACATTCCACTCATTTATACAAAATAAACATTTTACAGAATTATCATTTTTTTTTTTTTTTGGTCTCCCATAAAACATTGATATATTCTGAAGTGATAAATAACATTTTGAAGCTTTGGAGTTCAAAGACATATCTTATCCTAATTATTTTTGTTTTCAATTACTGGCACTTATTTTATCATTAGACGGGATCTTTATCTCATCATTTTGAGTGAAGAGCGGCTCACAGTTAGTCATGGAAAAAGAAGGAATTTTTTTCAAACAAAATTTGAATAGGTGCATGCTTTTCTTCACCTTAAAAACCATTATTAAACGGATAAATCGACGGTGAAAGTCGGCAATCACATAACTCGGTTTGCGACGTCGCAGACTTCCTGTCATACTTTATTTTTAAAATGGAAAACTACTCAACGGCAATTCTTTAAAACTGTCATGATTTTTCTTCTCAATGCGAAGAAAATTCTGCAAAAACTTCAAGAAATAATATCAATTTGTTCTCCTTTAAAAAAATGACGTAGAGGCGGAGATTTTCAGACACCGCAAACGAGTTATGCGATTGCCGACATTCACCGTCGAAATGCTCTCTACTTCCTCTTGAGAATCTACCATTAACAGATACATAAGGAGCACTTTAAAACATGTTGGTATTTTTGTTACTTTCATTTTTTCCAAAAACAAAATTGAGATCATGTAACAATCAATAGTTACAAATTGAAAACTATCAAAAGGAGAGCAGGATCTATGATACATACCTCAAAACAGATCCACACGTTTTATCACAGACAGAACATTTTGAAGACACAGGAAGATTGCCTTCTATCCATTGATGCGGCATCAAAATATTCTGAAAATAGCAACGAATGATATGAGTGAATGTGAGCAATAAGAGTTGAATTTTGAAAATTGATAAGTTAACATGTTTTGTGGTGCTTTGACTCATTTAACATAGGTATCAAGTGGTCAGCCCCTCTCGGACTAGGCAGAAGATTTTCCGCTCATGAGGAATGTCCATACTTCCTCTTGCTGGACATTATGCAAGGTTGTCACTGAATTTACAAAATGAAATGGGCCTGTTGCAAACTTTTGCTAGAGCAAAACTAAGAGTTGTTTCCTACAGATAATGGCTCAAAAATCACGATGAGCGCATCGGCAAAGTCTGAAATGCACTCATAACTTCACAATCTGCGTAAGAAATTTGCGGTTTTTTGAGCTTCCCGCTTCGAAAACGATACTACGGTACAGGTGAACATTTTGTTAGAGGAGTCGTTCCATTGGCGACAATACTCATCATGGCCGACGCCAGTCCGCCAAAACACGTGTGATGGGACGAGATAACACTTGAACAGGATTAAACCATACAACAATCGGCGTGTTTACGTTCATATTTTCCTCGCCCGCCTTAATTGACCTTGAACTCTCCTCGAATTACGCGAGGAACTGCGCAAGCGTCGGCCATGATGAATATTGCCGACGATGGAGCGACTCCTCTAACAAAATGTTCACCTGTGCAGTAGTATCGTTTTTGAAGCGGGAAGCTCAAAATAACGCAAATTTCTTACGCAGATTGTGAAGTTATGAGTGCATTTCAGACTTTGCCGATGCGCTCATCGTGATTTTTGAGGCATTATCTATAGGAAACAACTCTTCATTCTGCTCTAGCAAAAGTTTGCAACAGGCCCATTCCCTGAAATTTCTCTGATTTCCCTGACACATTTTGGTGAAATTTTCTGACAATTGAAGATATGCCAGGTGGTTAAAAAGGCATTAGAAACAATTTTCAGGCAAAATTACTTTTTCGAAATGTCAAACCTATTCCAGGAAGCAAATGAAGGTAACTTAATGATTTTTCCCTGGCCTAGGAGTCTACTAAAATTTAATTTTGGATTTTCCTGATTTTACATAATATTTGAGATGAAATTCCCTGGTTTTTTGCGCCAGTAAATTGCCACTTGTTTGTAAGAAGAAAAAAAAAAAATATTTAGTGAATTTAATCAAATGTTTGAAAAATGCTTGAAGCACTTAGAATTTCCTGGTCCATGGCCAACTTTCCAGATATTTTCCCGATGACATTGAATTTCCTAACATTTTCCAGTTTTTCGATTTTCACTGACGTTACACACCCTGTCCTGACATTTCCCGGGTTTCCCTACAACCCTAACTGTGGCAACCCTGAAACGGCTTCCACGCCACCCTGTGGGCCGTAAAATTTGTCGACGTCAAGACCGAGACACCCTGTACGGGTACTGCGTCAGAGGGGGAACTGACCCGAGGATACGGCGGGGGCAAGGGCCCAGGAACCCTGTGCGCGATCCAGGGTTTGAAGATGAGGCATCGGAGATCATTTCCGCGAGTGAGCGTAAACGGCGCACGGTGGATCGAGTCAATTGGAGAGGTCGGACAAAATTTAGAAACTTTAAACGCTTATAACTTCGTTTATAAAAAAAACTTTGAGGCTGGTTCCATTGGTTTTCTCGTGAAATTGTCTTCTAAAAGAACCACCCCATTGAGATTTAAAATGTGACGAAAAAAACATCAATGTTTGCGGTTTTAGTAAAAAATTTCATGTCCAGGGTTCCTACTAAAATAGGCTGTCAAAAGTAAGTACTTTTACAGTACTTTTTCAGTATATTCTCGAGAAATTCAGTATATTCTCGAGAAATTCAGTATATTCTCGAGAAATTCAGTACCTTCTCCGACAGAAAAATTCCGTGCTTTGTCAGTGCCTCCATTTGACGAAATTAAAAATATTTTAAAAATTTGAAATTGCGACAAAAATGACAAAATTTTTTAAAAAAACTACCTTTTTGCGGAATTTCCGCATTTCTTCAGTACTTCCGGACCACCTTTGAAAAATCAGTACTATTTCCGGACTTTCCGAAAATTCCGGACTTGTAGACACCCTGCAAGTCCGACCTATAAGATTAACTCGTTCCACTGTGCGGCGGTGGAGAGGTGCAGTGGGAGCCAAGAAGATTGCGTGAAATGAGTAATGCTTGCTTGATGGACTCGAGTTATTAGATAATTTCGTTCGGACACTCCTCCCTCACCCACCCTCGTCGCCATCCCCCCACCCCCACCCTGCGACGCCCCAGCCCCATATCCTTCACTATAAATTCTATTTCCGCCTTCCGCGAGTCGTCCACGCTCATTTTTCCATTTCCCGCTTTCATCCTCTTTAACCGGAGCCGGGGCGGAGCGGCGCGGCGGAAACCGTGGATTCAATTTGAGTTAATTTATCGCCATTTATTTAATCCATCGGAAAGTAAGCATACGCCAAAATCCAACTCATCGCTTCCATTAAAGCCGTCCGTTGAGTGGGAATTGGAGCGACTCGTTCGCAACACTCGTCAGTTCCTGGACGATGCGCCATGCTTCCAGTCCAACAAAAAAGTATTCGTCCTGCAATCGTACACTGGAAAAAAAAACCACATTGGATCTAGAGTCCAGACTCTTGAAAACATTGACAAGAAAAAATACTCTTGATTCAATCAGATTTTTGCTTAAATCAAAAGAAAATCCGCTCAAATTAAGAGGCTTGGTTCTTGATTTAAGCTAAAATCCGATTGAATCAAGAGTATTTTTTCTTGTCGACGTTTTTAAGAGTCTGAACTCTAGATCCAATGTGTTTTTTTTTTCTAAAGTAGCAGGCATAAGTGTTGAATCCTTTCTTTTGGGGTGTCTAGCAATCTTCAAAAATAAACTTCCCTGATTTCCCATACAAAACCGGGAAAAAATTAAAATTCCCTGACAGACACTAGAATAATTCCCTGACATTCCCCAGACAAAAAGGAAAAATATTCCCAATTTTTCGACACGGTTGAACTGATAAGATGTAAATAAGACTTTGGTCATGTTTCAGAATTAGAATGTAAAAGATAGAGCAACATATATTGTGCTTAAACGTATACGAGATACGTTTGCCTCATTTTTGACATTTAAAAGACATCAGCGGAAATTCTGGTAGGAATTTTAGTACCGATTTCATTTTTCTGAAACTTGATTCATCATCAATTTTCAACAAACCAAAAAAATGTGTTTTTCGATTTTTCTGACACAGAAATCGCTTGCAAAATAAAATTCCCAGACATGCCGAATTTTTGCGGAATCCCTGACGTTTTCCCTGATTTCCCTGACACAAAAAAAATTCCCTGACATTTCCCGGTTTCCCAGGTCGCTAGACACCCTGCAGCCCTGCACTCGTGGCAAATTCGGCATAAATAGGGAATCTTCTCTTTCCACTACGCAGCATTACCTTCTTTGCCCGAGGGCTTAAAAAATGTCGTTCGAAGTTAGGGTGTTTCCCCGTGAAGACAAATCCCCACGTATCCGTCAAACAGTAATACTGCCGTGCTAAAGAAGAACGCCGTACAAATCTTCAGACATTGCCAAGTTTGCTTCGATTAAATAGAAATTTACTGAGAGAGTTGCTAATATTTTTCTTCTAATTTTTCCGACAATTTTGTCCGCACTTTTATCTACAACATCTGAATATTCCAAGGAAAAAAATGCATAACTTTCCTCAAAATTACGTATTTTATCCGGGAAATTTGGCAACTCTCGATTGTTCATACGGCGTTCTTCCTTAGCATGGCAGAATAGCGGGCATGGGTCAATGAAATACCAAGGTGTTTTATTTACTGTAGAAGGATGTACTTCAAAAGCTTAGAGAGTCTTCAAGTTCCCCAAAACACCGTGATAAAATGCCGCCTGAGTTTAGGTTGTCCAGGAACAAATTGTGCACATTGCTCTTGTCTACGGACCCTGGAAAAGTTGAATAACAACCTCTTGCAACTGCTGAGGCACCGCACAGCGTAAGGCCCAACAACTCACTCGCAGTCATGTCCAAACTTGGCGTTTCCGGAGGCGTTCTAAAAGCAGTTCGCCGGGCAAAAACAAGTTTCAATGTTTTATTTAAAATCTCTATCATGTTGATTTTCTTCAAGGTGCTCGTAAATGTTTACCGGAAAAGAGTGACGAACATTTTTTAATGAAGTTTTCAAAGAACACTCTTGAAAGAGCGAAAAAACTTTCTTGGAAATTTTGAGACGTGAGTATAATAAATTAGCTTTTTTTCTTAAAAATAAATATTACCGACGATAGAACGATGGTGATTTTTTCATCGTAATAAACGCTGAACAGACTTATTTAGTTTCACTTGCGGACAGTAGATTTATATTTTATTACTAGAAAACAGTAAAGCAAGAGGTCGAAAACAGTCTGCGGTTTATGTTACGAATGAACCTCAGCGTTTCATCTTTCCCACGCAGAGCGCCTTCAAGACCAACACGTAAATGATCGCTGACAGTGAGAGCAACTATATTAACGCTCCGGAGCGCATATTGCATAGCCGGCCAATTGAAGGCGTTTATGAAAAGTGCACATTCCTGCACTCTCTAACACAACGATTTGTTCCCAGCGACTAGCATTTCCATTAATACTCTCTTTTCTGACCAAGTTGGTTAGAAATGAAACAGCTCAACTAAATACCTCCTGATAACAATTATTCGAAGTTTAAATATAATGATGAGTATTCAGATTTTTCATTGACTTTCCTAGGTTTCCTGTAGGGAATTTCTGACTTGTGTGCGGGATTTGGGAGGACTTTTTAGCGGGCCGATTATTGAAATTGGTAGACAAAGCTATAGAAAAAGAAGACAAGAGGGATAAGGAGGGATCCTATTGGTGGACGAGAGTGGTTGAAATAGACAAATGAGGTGAGTTATAGACTAACTAACGGCAACCCACGAGAGACTCTATAGTTAGTCCATCATTTTCTCCCTTACTCTATAGGAATGACTCATTTAAACCAATGGGATCGCTCCGTACTCCCTATGTCTCCTTTGTCTATCGCCTTGTCTATCAATTTCAATAATAAGCCCGCAGGAACTTTTGGATGTATTCATGCTGAAAGAAACTATGTGGAAATAGATTACACTGAGAGGAACCTCAAAGAAAGTAGATTCTGTGTACATACTTCCTTGATTCATTTGTGAGTAGTTCCTTTTAGCTAAAATACGCCCTTTTCATCCTTCGAATCCCATCTATTTCAGAGGCGTGGCGTGCTTTGCGATACATCGATTGATGTGCCACTCAAACCTACAGAAAAAGATCGATTATCAGGGTGTTCGCAGCGAACACCTTAGTAATCGATTCTTTACCGTAGCTTCAAATGGCGAGATATCGATAATCGATCATTCACGCCACGCCACTGATCTATTTCTACCTTTCCCATTGATTTCAGCATCCACGCGTTCCCTTTTCCTCCGATTATTTTTACGAAAGCTGCATCATGAACTTGACTCGTACGATTTGCATACGTAAAAACCCGCAAATAAGAGCAGTTACTTCCTTCCAGCTGTGTTCTACCCTCCCACGACGTCATAGAAAAGGGCGAAAAAATGAGGAGGAGAAATGAAAGGGGGAGGGAAGCGAATAAAATATACGACTTTGGCCCTGGAGAGGACAATTTTGACTCGGAAGCTAAAATTGCATACCTGAAAAAGCCGTAACCCTTGATGACACGAGATCATAAAAGAGCGGGAGTAATTTCGGCGCTCCCGGAGACTTCTTTTTTTAAACGAGGCTACCACATAATTCTGAGAAACAATTTGCGCGCTCCTTTCTCTTCTTCGTTTACACTTTCTCTCACTTCTGGGGTCTGAAAATTCGGAATTTCTTTCTTGTACCATTCCCCGGGTTTCGAAATTATGTAGTGGGTAGTACGGTAGTATAGAATAATATATTTATTTTTAAATAAGCGAGAGTAGTAGTAGTAAGATAAGTTTATTATAAAGCGGTAAGGAAGTAGTAGTAGTAAAATAATTTTATTTTAAAGCGGTGCTTTAGCATCTAAGGCCATTTACACCTCTAAAGAAGGCAGTAATAAAGTAGTATTAGTAGTAAAATAATTTTATTTTAAAGCGGTGCTTTAGCATCTAAGGCCATTTACACCTCTAAAGAGGGCAGTAGAAGAACGAAATAAAGAAAGAAAGAGAGTAGTAGTAGTAGTAAGATAAGTTTATCACGGTGTCTAGTATTTTTTAATTCTGAAAAATTCCTGATATTTTCCTGATTTTTCGACGACTCCTGGCACGGTAGGCAAAAAGCAGCTAGAATTCTCCGCTGAGGAAGTTCGCGTAAAATAAATTCTGGATAAAAAGTCTGATTTTTCCGATTTTTTCCTGATCGGCCAAAATTCCTGATATTTTCCGGGTTTTCCTGATGCTAGACACCCTGTTTATTTTAAAGCGGTAAGAGAGTAGTAGTAGTAAAATAATTTTATTTTAAAGCGGTGCTTTAGCATCAGAGGAAGAACGAAAGAAAGAAAGTAGTAGTAGTAGTAAGATAAAGAAAGTAGTAGTAGTAAGATAAGTTTATTTTAAAGCGGTGCTTTAGCATCTGAGGCCATTTACACCTCTGTGTGTTTACATGGAAATCAAGGCTACATCAGTGAAAATACAAAAGGGTCGAGGGGGAAGGTTGAAAGAAAGAAAGAAAGATGGCGGGAAAGCTTACCCCATATTGATCCTCGATTATATCCCGACCGATGCTTGCCAGGGTGGTCCACTTGCAGTTGTCCAGCGTCTTCGTTTTGCAAGTTTTATGTATCTTCATCTTGCAGACCTCACAGCTGTAACCGTGCGAGGTAATGCCTGTAACAAACGATACAAACCTCATGAGAAGACAAGAAAAAGCATTGCAAATGTGGCCCGAACTGTACGTAACAGGGTAGTAAAATAGTGCTGGTCCACACTGTTTTTCCGGGAAAGCAAGCCCAAAAATTTCAATTAGAGTAAAAAAGTTGAGCTCTGATGGGTATCAGTATGAGGGGTGTTCAGCTCAGTCAAAAGCATTAAATCACTAAGCTGGGGTCACGCCGAGAGATCTATAACGTTTTGGGTCTTCTCATTTCATTACTTTTGACTCTGGTGTCTCATTAAAATTTTTGGAATTTTTGGCGCGTATACGTAGTATACCGCCTTTGCGATCGTTTCGACCCCCCCCCCCCCCCCCCCCC